GTTCGTTCGTTCGTTCGTTCGTTCGTTCGTTCGTTCGTTCGTTCGTTCGTTCGTTCGTTCGTTCGTTCGTTCGTTCATTTAATACCCCACCTATCTGGTCATTGAGACCGCCTAACAGTAGCACTATCTATCCCACATTCTACTAGCTTCATTACAAGAATATCATGAGGAACCTTGTCGAAGGCCATACTGAAATCAAGATATGCTACATCCATAGCATTTCCTTCATCCACCAGGCCTGTAACTCTATCAAAAAAGAGATCAAATTAGTCTGGCATGACTTGTTTTTGAGAAATCTGTGTTGACTTCTAGTAATGACAGCATTGCTTTCTAAGTATTTACAAACTGTCTGTTTAATGATCTTCTCTAGAATCTTTATAGGAATTGATGTCAGATTGATGGGCCATAATTATTCACATCTTCTCTTTTCCCCTTTTTGAAGGGGACAATATTTGCCCTCCTCCAATCTATAGGGACTTCCCCTGTTCTCCAAGAATTCTCGAAGATTATTGCCAGTGGTTCGGATATTACTTTTGCCAGTTCATTTAGTATCCTTGGATGTAATTTTCTGGCCCAGGAAACTTAAATTCATCCAAGGTAGCCAGGTAATCCTGTACCATGTCTTTACCTATTCTGTGCTGTATTTCCCATACTACTTCACTTGCTCTTCATCCTTCAGGTTGAGCACTGTTTTCCTTTTTGGAAAAAACTGAGGTAACAAAGGTGTTGAGTAGTTCTGCCTTTTCCCTGTCCTCTGTTAGTAGCTGGCCATCATCTCCACGCAGAGACCCTATCATTTCCTTCTTTTTCCTTTTACTGCTGACTTAACAAAAAAATCCTTTTTATTATCTTTAATCTCTCTAGCAAGCCTAAGTTCATGCTGTGCTTTAGCTTTTGTTACCATCCCCTTATGTGTACTGGCTATTTGCTTGTATTCCTCTTTGGTGCTTTCCTCGTTTTTCTATTTCTTGTACATTTTTTTTACACTTAGCTTTGTTGACAGTTCTTTAGTCAACCATTCTGGTTTCTTTAGACATTTCCCATTTTTCCTTCTGGTTGGAACAGTCTTAGATTGTGCCTTTAGTTTCTCAGTTCTAAAAAATTCCCATCCATCCTGCACTCCCCTCTCCTTTAGTGCCTCTGTCCATGGACTTTCTTTAAAAACAGTTAAATATTGTGAATCATAGAATCAGGGCAATGAAATTTACATTATTGGTAAGAAAGCTTAAGCTAAGAGCTTTTACATTGGAGTCTCACACCTTTAGTGAAATTATTTGAGTTTTCCTTGAAATAGAAAGCGACAAAGTGTGAGGAAATACCCAGCTGCAAAAAATGATCTTATAGCACCACCTAGTGTTTGAAATTCTAAAACCAAAATCATGACAGAATTTTCCTAGTAGCTGTCTCAAACAAAAAGTTAGAACTGAATATAGAACAACTAATTGGTTCAAAATTAGAAAGTGAGGAGAAATTAAAGAACCTCTTAATGAGGGTGAAAGAGGAGAGTGCGAAAAATGGTCTGAAGCTCAACATCAAAAAAACTAAGATCATGGCCACTGGTCCCTCATGAGAAGACTCCCTGGAAAAGACCCTGATGTTAGGAAAGTGTGAAGGCAGGAGGAGAAGGGGACGACAGAGGACAAGATGACTGGACAGTGTCATCAAAGCTACCAACATGACCTTGACCAAACTCCAGGAGGCAGTGGAAGACAGGAGGGCCTGGTGTGCTCTGGTCCATGGGATCACGAAGTCAGACATGACTTAATGACTAAACAACAACGACAACAATATCAAACAAAATTCAATCTTCTGTCTAGCCTAATTTAAAGAAATTGTCAAATATTATTGAAACAGAACAAAGTGATTGTTTCAGTAAGGAGATGTCAAGAAAAATGCATGTAGACAAAATTGGCCCTTTCATTGCTGCAATACTTGCTGCAAAAATACATTGGAATATTATGATGAAAAGGCAGTAACTCATACTATACGCAATGCTTGCATTAAATTGGTGGAAAGGGGTATGCTTGAAAACATACTGTAATATAACTTTCTTTTGATGTATCACACATGATCGCTAAAGCAACAGGATCCTCCTTTCAGATAGCCTTTATGGCTATCTGATCAGAGGCAAAGCACAAAATAACCATTGGCATCTAGTGATGCCTCTGAAATATTACACGATCTAGAATTTGGCAGTATATTCTAGAGTCTGAATCCGGGAGAGCTCTTATGAGTCCTTCACCACACTGCAGCTTACAAATCCTGATTTGCAAAAATAAGGCTGATTTCAAACTTTTTCTCCGACAATTCAGGCTTTGATGCAGTTTTGGACATCTGTTTATCTGGGAATCATCTGGAACAGATAATTTCAAGGCTGGAAACGAGCAGGGCAATGGCTGTCCACCCTTTGTGGAATCACAATATCACAATCTCTTCTCTTGATCTTTAGGGTTTTCCATTCTTCTGTCTGGTTTTCAAAGGTATATAAACAACATCCCTCTTGCATTTGTATTTTGTAATGACCACTCTGCTCCCTTTTATTTCATCCAGAAATAAGAACAGCCCTCAGAAAAATTACATCTTTACTATGAATGTGTGTTCCCCATCAAAACCAAGTGTGTTGTTGTCAGTGGTGTAGTGATATATTTGGAAGTGGAGGTGCTTATCGTGACAGTCACCATAGCCAGCCCTCTCCCCGCTTCCCAATAAAAAGATTCCAGAATGCCAGCCAGCCAGTTTGGTCCATATCAACAAATGAAGAGCAAATCTTTTGTAAAGTTAATAGCTCTTAATCGCTCACTCTACACCAGACCACCCTCAAATATTTACATTACAGGAGGGATAACTCGTGGTAGTACAGTGGTGCCTCGTAAGATGAGAGCTTTGTTAAACGAAGAAATCGCATAACGAAGAAGTTTTTGCGATCGCAAAACAATGTTTCCTATGGGGTTTTTCGCTTTGCGATGATCGGTTACCTGCTTCGCTAACCGATTATCGCAAAACGAAGATTTTCACACAGCTGATCGGTGGTTTCAAAATGGCCGCTGGGTAAAAAAAATGGCCGCCCGCTGTTTTCTGGGACGGATTCCTCACTGCACGGGCAGCGAAAATGGCCGCGCTATGGAGGATCTTTGCTGGACGTTGAGTTTCAAGCCCATAGGAACACATTAATCGGGTTTTAATGCGTTTCTATGGGCTTTTTAAAATTGCTTTACGATGTTTTCGTTCTACAGCGATTTCGCTGGAACGAATTAACATCATAATGTGAGGCACCCACTGTAGTACATTGGGGTTTTTTGAAAAATGCTTTTCTCTCTCAACTACTGTGAAGGTTCAAAGGAAACAGCTAAGCAGAAGGGTAGTGGCAGATGGTGTGTTAGTCTCTGCTCCTCATAAAGCTCTGGGGCTTTGACCCTGTGAGGCCTGGATCCACTAGATCATAGATTGTGGCAAATATGGCCTCCTTGACAGGAGCTGGACTCAGTGATCCATAGGGTCCCCTCCAGTTCTAAAATGATTAGGATTACTTTTGAAAATGTAGTACGGCCACCGGATGATTAACCAATGCACTTTTTGAGACATAAAAAACTTTTAAGACATAATTTAAAAATGAAAATAGAATAGAGGAGGCACGGGGAAGCTTCTTTAAGATACAGCTGACATGGAACAGTCAACTCTAATAAACACTATTATTAAAAAATGACAGACACTTTTGAAAACTGGATTTATTGCAGGATGCTAAGAACCTCCTGGTTTGAGTTAACAAAGAAGTAATAAAAAAATAAATAGAGACCAAGAAATCATTGAACACATATAATGCAGAAAGCCAGAATATTTTGGCCATATAATGACACGTACACATTGTTACAGCTAATCATTCAGAATAAAATAAACGGGAAAAGAAGCGCAGGAAAGAGAAAAACGTATTGGCTGAAAAACCCTGAAGGCCAGCTTGGAGGCAGAACAATTTAGGGCTGCCCCACCCAAAGGCAATGCTGCTGTGAAGGTATACTGATTTTCCTTTTAAAGGTTTGCAATAAAACATCAACATACACAAAATATAAGAGCAAATATAAATACAGTAATCATTGTTATCAGGATCTAGCTGCTTTGAGGTGACCAGGGGGCAGGGAAAGCAGTCTTCTTAGCAACCCTAACTGGCACAGAGTGGTTTTACACTGTTCTTAGTGGCACAGGAGCGGAGACGTTACTCAGGTGGATTCAGTGGCAATGCAGGGGTGGCATCAGAGGGAATGTGGGAGATACACAAGCCAGGTCAAGGGGCTGCATTCAGACCACAGGCCATAGACTGTCCATTCCTGCTATAAGAGCATCTAACTGGAAGGTAGAGTAAGGATGATATAGTCCATAAGGATTTTAAGGTAGCATGTGAGCCAGAAACCCTGCTGAAAGCTGAATTCACCTTTTATAAAAGGGCTGCACATCATGCCAATTTACACAAGACTTAAAAGCTATAAATTAAAGCTATCAGATCATCATGAAACCCATACTCAATGGCCATAGTAAAGCAAAGTTTCTTGGCAATAAGGTATAGAGGCATCACCTCTACTTGAAAATCTGCAACAGCCTTGTGTGCATTCCTGCAGCTCCCTACTGGTTGCTCTGGTGCAGATGAGAGCACTCATTTGCACTCTCTATAGGTAGTTAGAGCAGCAGCAGATCATAGGGGTGAATCAATTACAGTGTATGCCAAGGGCAGGCTGTATAGGATGCATCTGTGGAGTGGAATTCTCTGTACATCCACCTGACTATTCAGAAACCTTACAACCACTCTTCCAAAAGGTAAAGAGCAAAACTACACCTATAGCTTTACATTCTAGTCCTATTAATGCTTACAGTTTGTCCAAACATTGAATTGGCCATCTTCAAAACTTCCTAATTCCCAAATTCCTAATTTCTCATTAAATTTTCAAATGTCAAAGTGGAATTTCCCTCGAAATTCCAAATGTGGATGCTTATTACATGTTGGTGTCTTCTGATTTTTTTTTACAAATGTTATAGACTTGGTGGAGTTGTATAGTAAATAATATTGCATGTCAAATAATGATAGAGTAAAATCCTCCTGTCTGCTATCAAATACTGTCAAACTGACAAACATGAAGTACTGAAATAAATATCAGTGTCAAATATCATATAATACTGATCATTAAACTCTACTGATTTTGAATATGAAATAATACTTGCAAGGTATTCAGTGCCTAGCAAATATTTGAATAATGAAAAGGGAACAGAGTAGGAATCAGACACCCAATCCCTGGCTCCACAGTCAGGTGGCCCATCTCATTAAGCTATTCCTTCATCTTTGCCTTTAGCTACAGTATCTAGTTAGAAAAGAAGAGCTTGTCTTTCAAGCATTAGTGCACAGAGCCAGTGCATAGATGGGTTCAAAGCAATGCTTCTGCACAAATCTCTCCCTCCCCTACTCACTACAGAAATAGAAAAGGAAGACATCCAACAGACAGGAAGGCTTCATTTTGAAACCAAAAATGAGATGGAACCAAGAGAACACATTTCAAAGGCTGTAGCAGCAAATCTGGCCTTGTTTCAAGGGAGGAAAAAAACCCACTCTTTTAATTCATTTAGTTTATATGACTTATTTTACATAAAATAACACATCTGATTTATTTCTCCCATGCAGTATCTTCATCCAGGGCTGGAGCAGAGAGCTGAGAAAATTCTGATTCCTTTATCCCATATGGACTGGACTGGGAATTGGAAATCTGTTCGGAGGCTTCATTCTTCCCAGTTTGGCATGCCTATAGTTTAGGGATGGAAATAAAAGTGGCAGAAATAATTCATGTATTGCTGCTGTTAATTTTTATCAGTTACAACTGCATGCAGAGGTGGCTCAACCATTAGGGCAAGAGGGGTGCTGCCCAGGCTGAAGCTACACCCAGACATCAGAACCAGAAAGCCTCCCTCCTTGTGTGTTTGTGTAAATGTCTGCCCGCCCGCCTGCTGGCTATATTTGAATGTACATTCATTGGCATATGTGCGTGTGCACACATGCATCTGTGCATATGTTTGCATACATGCACATGCATTTGCAGTTGTATCTACATCTGTGCTCTTTTACTCCTGACTCTGCTCATCACTTCTCGCTGTGCCTTTCTTCCAACCAACAATGGCCATGAGCCACCACTGAAAACACGACACTTGTCAGTACTCACATTTAATCCATCAGAACAGTTGAGCTGGCTGGATAGCTCAGTAAGTTAGGTACTTGGCTGTGGAGCTAGAGGTTGGGAGTTCAATTACCACTGTCTCTTCTGTGAGCACAGCCAGCCTATTTAGCCTTGGGCAAACTGCACAGCCCCAGGGCACCCCCAGAAGAAGGGAATGGTAAACTGCTTCTGCCTAGAGAACCATGAAAAGGGTTGTTATAAGTCAGAACGGACTTGTGCATATTTGTATGTTTTTGTGTATATTTGTATGTTTTTATTTACTCATCTGGAAGCCGCCTAGAGTGATCGCAAGACCAGATGGGCGGGGTATAAATAAATAAAATAAATAAATAAAATGGTACTCAATTGTTATTATTCAAAGTTAAGAAGGAGCTGTTCTGCTCCCCACCAAAGTCTTTATAATTGAACCCATGGTCAGCAAAGGAAGATGAATGGCAATTCATGGTAGAGATAAGAAAGAACAGAATTCAACTGTGATGCAGTGGTGGCCAACAACTCAGGTGGTTTTTCAAGGGCAAATTCACAGAGCATGGGGCTACAAACGGACCATGATGCTTATACATTACTTCTGGTACCATTTGCTGGGGACAAGCCTGGATTACCCCTGGTGCAGTTGTAATATATGCTACAGTTGTTAGGGGCAGACTGTTGCTGCCATGTGGCAGTAACTGTGAGTTACATTTCTGTGAAACCTGCAGTTATATGTACAGATATTTGAATAATGTAGTTTAAAAACATGGAATAAGGCTGTCATTTTCATGGAACCCGAAGAGCTGACGACATGCTAACGTTTGAAAGTTCTGTGATGCCCTCTCTTTTGTTTTATATTATATTCATTGTTCATTCAGTCAACTGAATGAAATTGGCCCCTAGATTTCTGATATTCTCTACCCCAGTTTAAACTGTGCTTCTAATCTCTGCTCAACCTGTATATTCTGAAATATATACATTTTACAAAATCCTAAGACCCTGTGATCTGTTTCCAAAGAAACTCAATACTTAGTAAAATTCTCAAGGCTCGGAAAGAGTGAGATGAGTGAACATAGTTGAAAACACACCCAAATGGCATGAGTGCAACACAGAGCAATGGATGTAACACCATCTGAAGATATATCTCAACAGTTGTAGGCTGTGCCTGATGCCTTTGTGTTCATAGGAATGCATTTACAGGCACGTACTCTAGCTGCAGGATGCATCCATGCTCCAGATATTTAGCCCTGACACCCTATGGTGAAGAAACCAAGACCTGAACAAGAACAACAAAGTGTCTTAGTGCACAACATACATCAATAACCTCATTTTCTATAATATCTTAAGGGTGTAAATTAGCCTTCTCCCTTGAAAGACTCTCAACTTGTCCTATAAATAACTCTTAGCATTCCTGTGACAACCAAGTCTGCCTGCCTTATCACCCTAGCTAGGATCTGCTAATCAACAACTCGATAATCCCATTCCTATGTTAACAAACCACTATTACTTTATCTATTATCTGTATCTCCATAAAAGAAAAATTATATAGGGGGCATATATTTGCACTCCTGTTTCTGAAGAAGTGGATTTTGATTCACAAGAGCTCACATTAAAATACATCTATTAGTCATCAAAGTGCTATAATATTTCACCCTCCCCCCCGTTTCTTCCTCTCCCCTCACTTTTGCCAGCTAAAGGTAAAAGTTCCTCTTGACAATTAAGTCCAGTTGTGTCTGACTCTAGGAGTCAGCGCTCATCCCTGTTTGTAAGCCAAAGACCTGGAGTTTGTTGATAGAGACTTTGCTTGGTCATGTGGCTGGCATGACTAGACATAGAACACTGTTACCTTCCCACCGAGGTGGTACCTCCTCATCTACTCACATTTGCATGCTTTTGAAATGCTAGGTTGGCAGGAGGTGGGACAAACAATGGGAACTTGCCCCATTGCACAGATTTGAACTGCTGACCTTTCGATCAACGGCCCAGTGGCTCAGCCATTTAACATAGCTACATCTTTGGAAACTGCAGCACAGGGCAATACAGCCCTTTAAGGTCCTGTGGCCCACACCCCAAAAAGTTTATGTTGAATAGATCTTTCTAACCTTCAAGGTGTCACATGCTTTTTCACTGTTTTTGCTTCAGGAGACTCAACAAGGCTACCCCTTTGGACCTTCCTGAAGAATGAGAATTCTAGCAACCTATGAACAAATCACCTCATAGGAGACAAACAAGGATGAATTGGGGTAGCAGTTTAATAGGGACGAATATCCAGCCCTCCAAATCTGTGAATGACCTGTGCATTGGTGAAAAATCAGTACAGTATACTGTATATAATGCAAGACTGGTCAACTTGTCTTGGCAGTAGAAGAATAACAATTTTATGAGAACATTCCCTGGGAGTAAAACTGTATTAATTATAAAATATAAAGCAACTATTTCTGCCATTTCATGACACTTCGGATCAGCTACCTGGGACAGCCACTTCAGTCTGATTTATGGATAAGTATCAGAAGTTAGAGAAGGCTCCTTCAAAATAGGGGCCACTGGAAGTGGGTGGATTTATGCCCTTATTTCCCAAACCACGGAAGAAAGTAAGCATTTGAGGAATTAGTATCAACCAAAAAGACAGAGCAGGGGCGTTCCTGCATCCATTACATGATGCTCTCAATGATGCATTTCCCCTCATAATGTCTTCTCGCTCTGCCTTTGAACAGCTGTGGAGAGTGCCAGATTCATAGCACTTTGGAGGTCCCCTGGAGGTAAACAGATGATTCTTTCTCATCAGAAGAGTCAGCAAGGGGTGGGGGTGGAGGGCATGATTCACTGTCCCTTGCCAGGCATGCTATTAATAGATTTGAAGACCCAGAACTGGAGGGGGGGGGGAGTCCTCGTTTGCAATGTTTGCTTACCATTCCTTCTGCTTCAGCCAGCTGGCATGCCAGAAGGGAAAGCAGCTGTGAAAAGGATGGTCTTTTTCGGGAATCCAGGGCCCAGCAGGAGCACAGCACTAAATATCTGCCAAGGTAACATGACAGAGGGGGATAGAGAAAAACACCACATGATTCCTGCAGTATTTTCTATGGGAAAGCTAAGCAAATGCCATGGTAAACAATCCTAGGATCAAAGAACATCTATTTCAGACACAATTTGGGGAGCTACAGTACTTGCAAATACATTCATTCACCTCCTTCCCCACCCCCAAAGGCTTTTACATACTAAGATGTCTGTCTTAACCTCTCTACAACGTGGGTCACGGTTAGAGAACATGTGCCCTCCAAGAACAGTGGAACTATGACTCCCATTATTCCTGATCATTAGCCATATGGCTGGGACTGATGGGAGCTGGTATCCAATAGCCAGGCAGTGATCAATTCTCCACCCCAAAGGAGCAAATATATTTTACAATTCAAATGACAATCGTATTTTTCTTTGCATAAGTTTCTGTGCACTGTAGTTTGCATCCTCAGATACACACAGTCCATAAATGTTTCATGCCATATAAAACTACTTAAGACTTTATAAAGTGCTAGGAAGAAGAACGCTCCATATGATTTTTTCCCCAGGAAATAGCTAGCTCACCTGGAAATCGTCTATAATCTCACATATTGGTCAGCAGCATAATTTGCATAATTTGGACTTTGCATATAGGAAATCATATCAGTTAGCCTTGAGGACTAACATGTGATTAGAAACATGGAGAAAGTTGAGTGGGTGGGGGAGAACGTCCGGACTCTGTGCAGTGGCCAGAGCCCCACCCTCAACACTCATGCCACACACTTACATTTCTTCTGTACCATAAAATGGACACTCCATCTTAAACCCTCTTTGAATCAGTTTGTAGAAGTTTGCATCAACTTGCATTCCAGGGTAAGGATTGACACCTGAAAGGGAAAAAAAAATGGCAGAAGAAAGGAAAACTAGTGAAAAAAATGGGATACCTTGCAAGTGTTGGTAGTTCTTCCCTTACTGTATATTTCTTCTAACACCTAACTTAATGATCTTGTACCCACAAGTCTGTCAGTGAAAGGGGGGCCACACACAAAGGTTTGGGGATCCACCTTGATATACTGAAAAGAGTTTGTTTCCATATAAGAGGTACAACAAAATACAATCACAAAAAATACTAACAATGAACCATTGTCAGTGGTTGCCATCAGCTATGGAATGCTCAAGGCATTACCTTACCACTCAGTATCCTAGGGAAAGGACAAGGGTCCAGTGCAGAAAGGCACATGAGTTGGGATGAAGAAATTGCCGTCTATCATTACTAGGGGAAGGCTGCCAGGAGGGTGGAGAAGGGGAAAGATCTCCCTTTCTCCTTGCCTGACTTTTGAACCAACCTTCTCCTGCTAGTCTCAAACAGTGGCACAAAACTCTTGCCCTAGGCAGGTTCAAGCTCTGAACAGCACTAGGAATGTACATCTTTCAGGGAATGGGGGACTGCAGAATCAACTGTGAGCTACTCTTGATGCTTTTTGCAAATAAATAGGCATGTGGGGCCTGCATGCCTTTTTCTTTAAAAACAAAAAGAATTTTAGAACTTCTCAGAGGTGTTCAGGAATACATGCTTCCTTAAGAAACATGATGAGAGGCCTCTGATGCTCCAGTAACATTGCCTTAGATGTGGTGAATTCAGCAGTGGGAAGCCTAATGGGATTAGCATACCCAACCAGGAGTCCTGGATCTACCCCACTGCCTCGGTATTGCCCATTTCTGACTTAGGGATGGGGAACAAGGGACTCCCATTTTTTTCATGTCCCTTAATGGCTGAGGAAGCAAACATGATCCAAAACATACCAAGAGAGAATATTTCCCACAGTAAGATTCCAAAAGACCAGACGTCACTCTTAATTGTGTATATCCCTTCAAATAAGCTTTCAGGTGCCATCCATTTCACAGGTAAACGAGCCTAGATGAGGAAAAATTATCTCTGTGTTAAAATTTCCACACTGGATGATGCGATGTGTGTGCATGTGCTAATTGTTAGAATTTCTCTAACAATTAGCAGGCTTTGATAATGTTGCTCCTATGGAGTAACAACAGCTACAAGAGAGGAGAAAATTATAGCTACTTCAAGCTTGATGACTTCAAATTTCCCAGCAATGTTCTTCCATTCTTTCTGCACACATTGAATTGTGTGCAAACAAGTATCCAGGCCTAGGCCTGCCCTTAGACAGAGGGAGACAATGTTTGCTGTCCTGTGCTACTGTTGATTGGGAAGCCCTTGGCATTTCATGAATTACTGTAAATTTTGGGGTCTCGTGAAAGAGCAGCAAGGTAGTCTTTAATTTGGACTCATTGTGTTCTTACTGGTATGGAGTGGAGCCATGAGGACTGGTGAATCAGCTCTGAGTTTTAGTCCAAACTTTGTCTGAGGTAAACCTATTTTGGGGACAGGGTTCAGCAGCTTGGAGAACTCTTGTGAAGGTCAGAACTAGCACCCAGAGCAAAATCCCCTTCAGCATCATCAGCCCCATCTGGACCAGGAAAGGTATTTCTTGGAAGTTCCTCTTACCTTTCTTCTTGTACCAAAATAGCTTGGCTGGCTTTAGATACTATTCATCTTAACACGGCTGAGAAAGGGTTCCATTTGATACTCTGTATGTGATAGCAACTAGAAAGCAACTCTCTAAGTTCTGGTGTAGATAAGCAATTTGGTGGGTCCAACAATGCTTAGGGTCTCATGAGACTATCAGAAGAAAGCAACTGTCTATGTTCCACCCCAGCGAGTATGTAAGATTATAGATCAGTCTGGCCAAGACGGACAAGATATATAACTGTTAAGGACATACACATTATTTTGACACCCAAGACAGAAAAGCTCCCCAGCACCTCTCCTGTCCCTGGCAATAAAAATCTAATTATAATACATAGAATAACTAACATGTTGGGTTTTTTTTCATGTCAGCCAAGTTTTACTGGGTGAGTTGATGACCTCATCGATAGGGCTGACTGTCTCTTCCAAGCCTGTGAGAGAATGTGTGAAAGGCTTCCTTTTCAGCCCTCTTTCTTTGAGAGCAGAATATTTGCCCTTAGTGATGTCTGCTGTTATAATAAGAAATCATCCCAAAAGAACAACGTGAAGAGTCTACTTCAACTTACATTCCCTCTGATCACGTAGTTTGAGTCGTTCACGATATCCCTCGCAAGCCCAAAGTCACAGATTTTTGCCACTTTTCCATGAGTTATTAGTATATTCCTGGCAGCCAGATCTCTGTGAACACACTGCCAAAGGAAGGTTGAGTCAGTCGGTTTGACACTCATACGTCACCACAAAAAAATTAGAATAGAGTGCAACTCTACTCAGAATCACATCCATTTGTATAATGAGATGCTTCATGCAGATCTTTTAAAAAGTGGCATGATTTCTGCATTGCCAACTACAGCTTTAAAGCGCCTGTTCCTACCAGGAGATAAGAGTGTCCATTGGTGAGGAACATTAACTTGTGAGGCACAAGAGACATGTCTTTTTCTGTAGTGGCCCCATTCTAACGTAGCACCTCACCCCCTCCCATGTGTACATGGCTCTCTCCCTGACTGATTCCAAACACTCTTTAAAAATCTAGTTGCAGTCTATTTTATAAACCAATCTTTTTATATTTTATCCTCTTTTTCTAGTAAGACTGCTGTGATTATTATAAATACTGTTTATATTATTATTTTAAAATATTCTGTGAAGTGCCTTTGACTTGAGGAGGGGCATGCAAATATTTTAAATAGAAGAACATAAAAGAGTATTACATAAATTTCCAGCTGCACTAAATGTATTTCAGCTATTTCTTCATTTGATGATCATTTAATTATCTGACATCTTTTAATAGAATGAGTCATAGTGTTCCTTTATTAAACTGTACATTTCCACACTTCCTCCAGCATCTCTAAAAGGCACCTTTACTGAAATGTTTGTAGACCGTAAGTGCATTTCAGTGGTCAAAAGGCAGGTAATTTACTCAACTGGAGAGTCTTCATATGATGAGAAGCTTCCAGCTTCTCCAGGAAGTGCTTCATCCTCCACAGTATTTGGAGGGCACACATCCTCTTTTTAAAAAAATTAAAACCAATCAATGCAGTGATCTTATGCGTAATAAATCCAGGACAAAAGGAACAGAAACAAAAATAGTTTCTGTTTACTGCAGAGGAAACTCTAGCATCAGTACAGCAACACCCATGTTCACATTTTACATGCAAAAGGTTCAGAGAAACTCTGTTGTACATTTGCACTAGTATTGCCAAAACAAGCTGTTGGCTGATTCTCCCTGAAGACAGAGAGCTGCCGTGTTCTCAAGGTGGTATTAAACAAATCCATCCCCCAATTTTTAAAAGATACTATCTTTTTTTGATATAAGGGCTAAAGGCACACACTAAGACTACACTCCAAATGTTTTCCCTTTTCCATCTCTCTCTCTCTCTCTCTCTCTCTCTCTCTGTTTTTCTCATCTGGTCAAAAGTTTGTTATGGTCTGCTTCCTGCTTTACACCCTCTTCTCTGCTTCAGAGAAAGTTGAAGGGCAGGTGGAAGATCTCTATCTTTTTTTTCTCTCTCTGATCTCTCATCATCACATCAGCCTCAGGCACTTCCCTGCTTTTGCCCCTATGCCAAACCAATAATCTTGGTTCCCTAGCACATAATCTCTTACCCTCTTTTTTCTCTCATCCTCGTAACAAGACTTATAAAATTTTCATCAAAATTTGCTTTCGATTTCACTTTATCAATAAAACCTTTTTGAGATTATTTTGAGGGAGAGGAAAGCTCAGTTCTTGTCTCTGCTTTCCCTCCTTTGTATCTTATGAAGGTATTCCACTCTCTCTGGCCAATGGTTCCCAGATGTTCTTGGACTACAACTCCCATGAATCCTGGCCAGCACTGGTAGTGGTGAAGGCTTCTGGGAGTTTCAGTACAAGAACATCTGGGGACCCAGGCTGGGATCCACAGATGTAGGTCAATGCTCCAGGCAACAACTCTTCATCTTAAAATTGTGCCTATATGTGTGAAATTTGTGAAATATGTGAAAACATATTTATTTCCCAGAAGTACGTATGTTTTTGGTAAGCACTGTTTTCTGCAGTATGTGCAGCTGGGTGCAGAAGTTCCTAATGAGATTTGGATCACTATTTATCTTTTTGTTTGTTTTGTTTCTAGATTACACACAACTATTTTTTCCCACACATTTAGCTTACTGATTTTGACTCCAGAAACTCCATTCCTTTGGCGACTTGACATGAGAAGCAAAGAAGGTCTTCAAAAGTCAGCACATTGAAGTCCTCCTCCTCATCATCCACTCTCCTGTTCATGTATTTCATTTCTTCTACAAATGAAAAAAAATCAGGGTTATTTTATTTCCCTAGAAAAGAGGTGCAAAATGAACAAAGGGTACAGAAGGTCAGGGATTCAAACCAGAAGCACAGCATCTAAGCATGGGGTGGGAAGGAATCATGCATGTCCCATAGCCTTTTTTTTTTTTGCATCCCTAATATCCCCCTAACCCTACCCTACCCCTCCCCCATTAGAAAGTTAATTTAAAGAAGAATGAGTACAGTGACTTGACATGCTCAAGGCATTCATAATATTCTGAGACTCAGATCTCCCTCCAACCACTGCTCAGTTGCAGATGCCTTCAGTATGACCTTATATTCATCACATCCACACTTCTTTCAAGTTAGTTTCCAAGGTCTGCTGAAGTGGAGTACTGAGTGGCACTTCCCACCTAAGCAAAGGTTCATAATACTCAACATCAAACAAGTTATTTTGGCACAGAAAGCAGAAAATCCTTCAAGCACTTGTTTCAGCCTCTAGCCATAAAGATTAGAGATGGGGGTATCCGTAGTTGTATTCAAATACCCCTACACAGGTGGAGCTGACAAGGGTCCGGCCCCATGGGGTCAGACGGTCCACTCACCAATGCTCTAATGCTGTGGAGTCCACACTGCCATTCTATCGCGCCCGAGATCGCGATTGCCAAGCCACTCTTTGACCTGGTAGAGAGGCTTGTCGTCTCACCTCCTGCCAGGAGTGGTTCAGTGATCATGATCTCCAGCACAATAGGTTGGGAGCGCGGACCCTGCAGCATTAGTGCATCAATGAGTGTACTGTCCGGACCCATGGGGCAGGACTCCTGTTATCTCCACCTGTGCTGAGGGTATTCATATATGAATACCCCCATCTCTAATAAAGATATATTCATAGTAAATTAAATTACTGACAATTTGCTGCCCTTCTATACCCCAAGTTCCTGAAGCAGTTGCCTCACTCTCACTGCAGGGGGAGGGTATCCCTGGGGGCCACAATGACCCTCAGAGAGAAGAATGAGGAATGGTTTTAGCTTTGGCTTCCTCGGTCCAATCATGGAATGGCCAACCTGGTGACAGTGTCTTGGAGCTACTGTTCAGAGGGAGAACATTTTCTAAGCTCTGCCCAAGAGGCGAGCTTCATAGGAATATGGCCTTCGATGGAATAAAGGTTCCCCAGTCCCATTTTAGAGGCTGAGGATCAGACCCCATGTTAAGAGAAATGCATGTTTCTACTCTTGGACACAGTGCTTCAAGCAACTTGCATGAGAAATCAGATATAGAAACAAGGCCCATGTTGTTTTCCAGTAACAAATATATTATAAAAAACCAAGTTTAAAAAAATGCAGGTGAAAGCAAACTCACATTAGGATAAACAGTCCTTTACAGCTCACTTTTAAGGAACTATAGCGTCCTGCAAACATCATAATCAAACTCTTGTTATAGACATGTTCATCCTCACAGGACTTCCTAAGTTCTCACCTTCCTCCAACATTAGGGCAATTCCAGACAGCTTATAGCCCAAATCTAAGTTCTGTTTTGTATCAGTGCTTCCAAGGTCATCCAATGGTATATACGAGCCATTTTTAATTACGCTTCCATTTCTGTAAAAGATGTGTGTTTTAAATAATTGTTTTAGCACGGAAAGGTCTTCATCATGACATAGATAAGCCAGGAACCGAACTGATGGCAACAGATTATTTTTACAAAAAACATTTGGTTGGCACTTAACTCTCATTTGTCACATCAGCAAACTTTGAAATCCTTGTATTACATATCCATTTTAGTTTTAGAGAGAAAATTAAAGGCAAAAAGGCTTAAATGTTGCAGCACTGTTAGACAAACAAATTTGGGCCACAATATTTTGTCCTGGCTTTTTCTCGTTTTCGTTTCCCTTTCCCTTTAATTTTGCCAAAATTCTTTTCAAATGGCAACCTCTTGAAAGAGGATGTGTGGCACCTTCAACCTGACCAAACAAGATGCAGCAGAAATGAAACCAGACAACCCTATAGGGCTCTCTTGTGGTTCTACTTTATAGATGTGATTCTCCAACATCTTCATAGTGAAACAGCAAAGAGTCGTCTTGCACCTTTCAGACCAACAAATTTTATTTGGCAGAAGCTTTTGTGAGTGGCAGCCCAACAAGACTTGCTATTCGGAGAAGTGTCACAGGACTCTTCATGTTTTTAATGCAACAGCTTAACACAATTACCTCCTGGGGCTGTGGGGAAATATCATACTGAGTAACACTAATGAGTTGATCCCATGAGTTGCTGTCAGGGGATTAAACTAGGAGCATTGCAAGCCAGACACTGGTTTCTTACATCAGCGATGATAATAATCAGAGGAAAGAACTAAATATCTGGTTAAACACAATACTCTATTCACAACATAGTTCGATCCTTGCATCAGATAGGTGTCTCAAGGATGACTCAACCTTCCATCTTTCGGGGGCAGGGCAATGTATAGCCTGCATAATTAAGTTGTAAACTTCCCAGAGAGGGCTTTAAGCACTGTAGGGTGGTATAAAAGCAGCACACGTTTTGCTTTTACTCAATGTTAAGTGACCCTGTTTAGCCCAAACCAGCCTGCTTCAATTAAGTTGTGTAGACAAGTCCTAAATCCCACCATGGGTGCTGGAGGACCTTGCTTACATAGCAACTAAGTGCCTAAGTGGAGAATACAGTGGTGCCTCGCAAAACGAGCATACCGTTTAACAATGAATTCGCATAGCGATCCGTTTTTTTGGGATCGCTAATGCGATCGCATACCGATGCTTTCTATGGCCGAAAATCGCTTTGCGACGATCGTTAAGCATTTAGCTTACCAATTTTTGCATAGCGATTTTTTTAAACAGCTGATCGGCGGTTCCAAAATGGCCGTTGGATGCCCAAAATGGCCGTGCACAGCGTTTTCGCGCCCTGCCCTCGCTTACCGAGGGTGCAAAAATGCTGGCCGGATGGGGAAACATCGCAGAACGGTGAGTTTTGGGCCCCATTGGAACGCATTAAATGAAGCAATGTTTCCCCATAGCGATGGTTAATCCGGAACGGATTAACCTCGCTATACGGGGCACCACTGTACAGAGAGAGAGAGAGATCTGGTGTGTTCCTTATTCATACTGCTCAGTCTCTTGCTTCCTCACCTAGAACCTGATTCTGTGGTTAGATTTCACTTCCTCCAATGCATCTCTTCCTTCCTCTTCCTTAACCTTGTTGCCAATTATATGATAGCATAGCCCTCATTTTCTATCTCCTTAATATTAAGTTCATGACAATCAAACCTTTCTTTACTGGAGACACCTTTTATAAATAATTGCAAACACCAGTTTCCATATATATTTTTAATGAGGACTTTTATGAAGTAAAATCTACACCTGTCCCAATAATTCTCAGCATTTACAATCAATAAAGGGGTGGAAAACACACACATTTGTTTTTCCTGCTGTTTTGCTTCACCCCTGCACACAGAGAAATGCTTTGGGATAAGAAGGAAAGGCACTGTGCATCATTGTGGCATCCACCCTAAGTTATGCATTGTTCAGAAGGAAAGGCACTGTGCATCATTGTGGCGTCCACCCTAAGTTATGCATTGTTATTATTCATGAGTTGTATGTTAATGTGGTTGTGAGGCGGAGCCAAAGGGGCTGCTGAAGAGGCGGAGCCTGGGAGAGAAGTTCAGTCAGTCAGAGTCAGAGAGACCAAGAGAAGGGATAGTTTTGGGGGGGTTTGAGGCAGAGAGTGTTTAAGGAGTGATTAGGCAGTGATGAGTCAGAGTGTGACTTGTGCTTGTGTTAATTAATATAGAAGAGATTAAACGAAAAATATTGAACCTTTGTGGAACTTTGAGAATGTGCTTAAGAATTATTCCTGAAACCAAGTGTAATCAATAAACCTGTTTCTGTTAAAAAATCAGTACTGGATGGACCTTAATATTTCAAAAGAAAAATAAGTTGATAAAGAGATAAACTGGTGGCAGCATGTTAAAGGGAGCATTGGGATACCTTTGTGAGCTCTGGGTTTGATTAAACAAGCAGGGGCAATAGGGGGAAACGCCACAACCATCAAGAAACACAATCATAGCTTCAAAAAATAAAATTTTTGCACTACTACTCTCATAATCTCTAGTCACTGTGGCTAGTGGCCATGCTGAACGGCAGGTTGTTTAAGATTTGACATCCAAATAACACCTACTTTCCCAAGCTCTGTTAGCAAAGCACAAATGATAGATAGGCTTTGCATGTGCACGCAACATTTTGCTTTATGGCCCACAAGACCAGAACTTCCCTGTCCTTTGCTTTTTGCTGGTGGGACTTCTAACATAATTCTTCAGCCCAGCCACAACCAGCCCAGTACTTACCTTGAGGCCATGTGTCCTGAGAAATTGTGGTAAAAACTGAAAGAGTGTTGTCTGAAGATATCGTTCCATGTCTTGTGGAACCTGTCTCTTCTGCTTCGTAAGTAGTTCAAGAGGTCTCCATGGCAACAGTATTCAAAAATCAAGTAAATCGGTCCTGAGCATATGATTTTAGTGAATAAATAAACAATAAAAACATTACTTAGCTTCTAGACCAAATGGAAGAAGAAAAGTAACTTCTCAGAGGATGTATCAGAAAGGTTCAATTAGGGCTATCGGATTTATGACAAAACAGACTATTTGTTGTGCCTGTGCCAATAGGACAGAGTCAACGTGCTGGGAATTTTGGTTTGCCAGGACAGTGGTGTGATCTGCCACCGCCCTCAAATGTGCCTGTTCCATATGAGCTTAGTTGCAACCCTCATAATAACTGGGATAAAGTGGATATTCCTTGCAAGAAGCATGGGCGTCAGTGAACAATCAGGAACTTTTAGCTTTACAAAATACCTGCACTAAGAAAAGATAAAAACTTCTAGATGGGGCTGGCTGACTTTGAAATAAAATGTTTTTCTTTGGTGCCGATACACATGAGAAGAGAGAGAGAGAGAGAGAGAGAGAGAGAGAGAGACTAATACAGTCACCCTCCTCTCTAAATTACCTTTGAGACCCTGGCTATGTGGATTCTCATGATTTTGCAGCCTACACCTATTGTTGACTCTGATTGACAACAGCACTCCAGGGTTGCCAACATAGCTCTTTCCCATCAGTCACTGTGTTATCTGGAAATTCAGGAATTTAACCTGTTGCTTTGCATATGTAAAGCCTATGAACAATGGTCCCTTCATTTCTATCAAAAACTCCTGGATCACTTCCAGTTCAGTGATGTGATCCTCCACCTGGCTGGTAGATGTCTTTACAAGGGATTCTCCATTCACTTGTAAACATCTGCTGTCAACATTAATCGGAGATAAAGAGGGCATTTGAAGATATTTAAATTTCAGATGTTCTGCACAGAACTGAGCTGTGCTTTATAGCCTTGTAGCTATTGCACAGGACTCAGCTGTGCTTTGCCAGTATGAAAGCTGATGTGCTGGGCTTTGCTCTGGACTACCAAATTGAGCTGGGCTTTTCTATGTCTGATGGGGAAAATGTCTAGACAGGTAAAAACTACTTTGGACCCTGCCCATTTCGCTTTGGTCCAACCCCATTTCTCTGCCATACCCGCTGCAGGAATGTAGCCCCCAAGCCCTTGTCAAATACTGTACACCCCCATATCAAAAAAGGGGTTCTCCACCCAGAATGAGTTCTTAATTTTTACTAAGAACTACTTTTGGTCTTTTATTTTATTTTCATGGCATAGATGCCACAGGCATAGTAAGCGAAAAATGGAGCTGCTTTAAGATATTCATCTTTTAAGCCACACAGAAACAGTTCACTTTGGTGTGTCCAGCTTTGAGAAGAACATACAGAACCATAAGCCTTTAGAGATGGGTTGTTCAATAAGTTGTTCCTTACCTGACGCAGTGCAAGCACCTAACAGATTCACAATGTTTTCATGACTTCCAATGTGAGTCATCATTTTGAGCTCAGACATTAAGGCTTCTTTCTCAGAAGAGCTGTGTTTTTCTGGAAATGAAACCACACCACAAGGTTACCTATTAGCACTTTCTGGATCTAACTTCAACAGAGTTCCATACTTGATGAACTATAGGATCCCTTCCAGTTTTTCAGTTCTAAGATAATGATGATGATTCAGTACCAGCAGTATCGACTGTAGTATCTCACCAAATGGTACTGATGGAGGGGTTATAGTTCATGTTGTGTTTATTGAGGGTTTTTCTCCCTAGGTTTGTATCCTTTGTATTGTTTTGTATTTTCTTTTGATTTGTATTTCTTTTATTTTTAAAATTTTATATAAATTAATTAAATAATTTTTAAAAAGAAACATTGCTGTTTCGAACTCCAAGTCCTAGAATCCCCCAGCTAGCATGGCCAGTGGATTACTGCAGCAAAAAACAAATAAACAAAAACCCTAACAATTGCAAGTTCTAGAAGATCACTTCGATTCCTGGAAAACAAAACAGAGTTTCCAAGCTCCCCTCCTATGGATGGGTTGGCTAGTGTATTTGGGCTGCTTGTAATCCCAAAGGCATCATTCCCAGGCTGTGCTACATCCTTGGTGAAGCTCAGTGAACACATAAGCATTGTGCAAGACCTTACATTAAAGGTGGGCACTAGAATCTGAGGATCAAATGATTTATTCCCATTGCTACCATGGTAGTTTGCCAGAAGAGGGCGGTTTGGGGCTATTATCTGTTGTGCTTGGTTTCCAAGAGGGACCATTGCTGGGGGGGGGGACTTCAAAAAATGTGCCAGTCTTTTCATGGATTTGGGAGACATCAAGACTGAATGATCTGCCCATGCAGGTTGAAGGCTATAATAACCCATCTCTTAAAAGCCTGACTTCGAACCCCAACATGTACAGCCATGTTTATGCTATTGAATTAGCACTGCTACTTATTTTATTTTCCAAAGCTCTTCTGTATACCTATGAGAAGACCTGTTTGCTCCCCACTCTTATTCACAAGCATGCATAAATAACATTATAGACCATATTAACCTGTTACCACAAGCCTGTTCAGACAGAGGAAGTTGGAGAGGTATGATCCACATATAAAAGGCTCTTATCTCAGTATGACCTGTTTTCTCTCTCATTTGAGTGATCCCTCCATTCACACTGAAGGACAGGTCTTTGGATCACTCCAGTTTGTCTCCCTTCCAATTAATGACAGTCCCCTTCCTGCCCCCCCTTCCACAGCTGCCATTCAATAGGCAGTGGCAACTTTTCTTCTTTTGTTAAATAAAGTAGGGGACACAGCAAAACAGCAATGCATCTGCCTAGCATAGTACACACAATACTGCCAATGCATCTTGTTTATCATTTTTGTTTTAAATAAGGGAAGGTTGCTTTTTTAAAATGAGGAGATAGAGAGGGATGCAGTTCATTGAAAGTCTGAAGTTCAGGAGAAGAAAGGCACGTATAACCTGCCCATCCCCAGCAGGTGACAATCAGACCAGCAATGATCACTCTAAAATGGCCATCCTCAAAATGTCTGGGAAAATCATCCACAGAGGCAGATCAGTCTAAAATGACCATTAATTCTGGTCCCTAATCATGATGCAAAAGCAAGGCAAACAATGTGGGAAGGTTCTTTTGTGGTGAAGAAAAAACAGTGGTGTGAATTACTGAATTGGAAGATCAGGAACTGGACTTAAGCCAAAAGTTGATAATGCCAATTGTTTAAAAGCGTATATGGCCAGAGATGAATTGACTCCCACTTGTATTACTTGGAAGTAAGGGAAAGGAGTAATGGATGGGAGGTGCAACATGGTGATCTTGTTATGGAATCATTCCGATGTGTGAATTATGATGCATTTTGCAAAATTGCTGTTCAAATTCTTGATGTTCTGTACTTAGATTGTTAAGTATCTTTCGGTGTTATTTTTCTACCAGGACATTTTTGATAAATGCAGTCATCTGAAGCTTTAAATGTTAATTTTTGTCGTAATGGATTGCATTGTCTCAAATGGATTTTCAAATGTGTTAGAACCATGGTAGCTTTTTGTGAAACACAGAAAGAACTGAATCTTTTCCTTGCGAGAAACAGATGCAGATTCTTACTTATTTGATTATGGATTAATGTCTCTTCCTTCTTTTCCCCAAATGATCAAACTTGGGTTTGGGGGATAGGAGAATCAGCAGAAAAAAGAAGCAGGGGAAGTAAGGGGGAAAGTATTATTAGTGTATTGTATGCATCTGTGTGTGTGTGTGTGTGTGTGTGTGTGTGTGTGCGTGTGTGTGTGTAATTGGCTGTGGCTACTGGACCTCCATCCGGTGGTAAAAAAAAAGGAGAACAATACACTTTTTATAATACCACCAATGTATCTCATTTATCTACAATAGCATTGTATCAATAAATGTATTTTTTAAATGTAAAATGGAAGAGTAGATGAAAATAGAGAGGAGGGATCCCCTGCCATCTCTTTCAATACCACAACCCAGGAAATACATCATAGGGTTGTAACCTCAGAAAACACTGCCCACAGCTCTAGTTTGGTGAGTACTAACCATCCATGTTGGCTACACAATGGTAATATTAGGAGTGTACAAATTGTGCAAAAAAACAAAAAACCCAGATGTCCTAGCTCTGTGTCAGAAAAGAGTGGGGCAGCTCTAAGAAGGGGCAGGATGGTGAGCTCTAAGTCAAAGCACTTGTGGACACAATAATTTGATTTGAACCAAACTGCACCAAGAAATATTGAAACAGTGATCTATAACAGTGGTGCTTTGCTAGACGATGATAATTCGATCCACTGAAATCGCTGTTTAGTGAAATCATTGTCTAGCGAAAAGCATTTCCCCATTGGAATGCATTAAAACCTGTTCAATGCGTTCCAATGGGGAAGAATCGTTGTTGTCTAGTGAAGATCGGCCATAGGAAAGCCGCTTTGCGAACCGCCGATCAGCCGTTTAAATCGCTGTCTTGCGAAGCTTAGGTCCCGAAAACATCTGTTTTGCGAGCACGGAGGAAGCTGTCAAAATTGTCATCTAGAGAAAATCGGTTTGCAAAGCAGGGACCAAATATTGTCCAGCGAAATCCCCCCATAACAATCACTGTTTTGTGAATCACTATAGCGATCGCAAAAAGCCAACGACTAGCAAAAAACCTGTCATGCAGGGTAACTGTCTAGCGAGGCACCACTATACCTGCCTGGACAGAGCCATATATTACCTTTGAGCATTTTGACTGCAACTTGAGCTGGCACTCCTGGTTCACTAATCCCGTAGGCTGTCGCATTCACCACTTTTCCAAAGGCGCCAGAGCCAAGCACTTGCCCTGTGTTGGAGAAGGATGAAAAAAAAAATCTCCTTATCTTGCAATTTGGTTATATATTAAAGTTATGATGACGACAACATATTGCTCACCAAGTTCCAGATTCTCTCGGGGGAATTCCCACTTTATATCATACTCAAATTCACTGAAGTCAACATAGACGTATTCGTTATCGGAAGGGCCAACCATCTGTATCATTTGTAGTTGACTTTCATACCTAGATTGCTACAAGGAATAAGACACTGTAAACAATGGAAATGGCATACAAATAAGTGATGCACAGGGAGGGGAAGAAGGGAGTGAGGTGAGAGATATGCATAGCATAGTTACCTTTCGGTAGTTTTGGCAAATTAATACACACAACACAGCGATGATCAGGGAACAGGATCCGATAGTTCCATAGAACGCATTGTTATCTGGTGGATCTAATGCAACTCCTGCAATTCAAAAGGAGATGAATGATTAAGCATGAAAACAGCATTCATTGAGACACTGAAGAAAAAAACCAACTGTGTACAAAAGGGCTCTAAGAAGGGGTTGGGCAGAAAGTAGTCTGCTGTTAGATGCCAAAACCAAAAACTTAGCTAGTTACCATTATAGGCATACTTTTAAAAAAGGACTCACTGGCCTATAGACTTGTCCCTTTTAAGAAGCAGCACCTGAAAATACAGCCGGTGTTACCCCGCCTATCTGGTCGGGCGAGGACCACTATAGACATACTTTCAAAAAAGGACTCTCTGGCCTAGAGACTTGTCCCTTCTAAGGAACAGCAGCTGAAAATACAGCCGGTGTTGCTTTACCTTCCTCACCCCACAAGGAAAATGGAAGAGTATCAAAGATAGGAAAGGAAACCCCACCATCTCTGGCTAGTGGCTTCTGCTATTTCAGATAAGTACTTCCTTATTCTGTTATTCAAACATAGCAAAAACAGTTTGTCAAGTCTTCTGAAATCTGTAGGTACCAGTTGCTTAAGAAAAAGAAGAAAAAGTCAGAAGATAGTTGTACATCACTGGTCTGTAGGACAAAACACATCTAAATAAAGAAGCCACACTCGTGTAAGTGAAGAAGTAACTTAAACTACTACAGTTATGCTGCCAAAGAATGAAGGTATCCTTCATTAAGTTACAATCTTCATGTAATCTAGTTATGTTTTAGTTATTGCCCGAAAAAGGAGGAGAAATAACTGTAAGTCATTATTTATAGCTAGTTCCTTCCAAGCTTTGGTCAAGGTGAATAGACAAGCTGGCTGGGTTTGATGGAAATTATGACCCTATTCATCCGGACGGCACTTGGTCAGGAAAGTCTGGTAGATCTCTAGATGATTTCAGTAGGTGGGCAAGGATTTATGGCTACCAAATGTTTAACAGTAGCAAAAATAGATTAATTAGCCTTCCTTCCCTATATTACATTTCTGGAATGAAGAAAGTCCTCAAGCTCAGAAGGGAAAGATTTGTTTGTGCACAAAGAACTGTGAGTTCTGTTCAGTTTTAGTTCTCAAAATTTTGTAATTCTCTCTTGTGTGTTTTTATGCCAGGTTCCCATTGTAATGAATTTCTGTGCCAAAGTTAAAAGAATCGAAAAGTATATCCTATATGCCTTAATTCTAGTAGAAAATCTTATACTATAACAGATTTGTTGGTCTTCAAGGTACCCCAAGTCTTTCATTAAAGTTACAAACATAACTTATTATTTTTTCCCAGCTGATTCCCTCGTTTCTCATATGCATGGCTTCACCAAATCAAATAAAACTCTGTCAGAGACATTCCTAAAAGCAGTGTGCCTTATGGAAAGTTCTCTTTTGGATGGTAACATCCAGTTATATTTACGACATTTTGCAGCATTCTGTATACAAAGTGCAAAACTTGGTTCAACAGGCATAAGTACCTCTTGTTTTAACAAAATTGGTTCGGCAGGATGAACCAACTGAATTGTTTGCACAGCACTCAATCAAAGATCCAGCTCGTACTTTCATTGTATTTAAAGTGCTCTCTGAGATCCAAGGACCAAAGGCATTTCCTTCACGTTTGTCACTGGAAATTCCATCTGTGATTTCTGTACAGCTGAGGGGAAAAGAAATCTGTTAGAACCTCTCGTTGCTTACCTAAATCACTAGAACTTAACCACTGAAATAGTAACAGAAATATATGTGTCATGTACTGTAATGTTTTTGTTAGTAGATATGTATAAAAGGGAGGGGACGTGGTGGTGCTGCAGGTTAAACTGCAGAAGCCTCTGTGCTGCAAGGTCAGAAGACCAGCAGTCATAAGATCGAATCCACATCACAGAGTGAGTTCCCCTTGCTTGTCCCAGCTCCTGCCAACCTAGCAGTTCAAAAGCATGTAGAAATTTGAGTAGATAAATAGGTACCACCTCGGTGGGAAGGTAACGGTGTTCCATATCTAGTCGCACTGGCCACATGACCACAGAAACTGTCTTTGGACAAACGCTGGCTCTATGGCTTGGAAACGGGGATGAGCACCGCGCCGTAGAGTTGGACACAACTGGACTAAATGTCAAGGGAGCCTTTATGTATGAAAGGAGTAGTTGATAACTCTTTATTTCCCTCGCAGCTCACAGGTCATTTCTGTTTAGCAATGGTGCTTAGATAGTCATATCATGGACTAGAACCTTAACTGGTTGAAGCTAAGGATACTGGACTGTCCTCCACCATTTATTCTTTGATGAAATATTATGTGATGTATCATACAGCTACCAGACTTCACATTTACAATGACTCAACCTAATTCTATGCTAAAATCTTCTTCCATCTTTCTCTAGCCATCTGTGCTGAAGGCAACTGGGGAAAAATCTTCTCCACTGTAGCTACCTACTTGTGGTATTCTCTCTGACATATGTCCTGATGATTTTTAGGTGCTCTGACGGGTCTTATAAACAACCACTTGTTATTTCAGGTCTGCTATGAAGTGAAAGAATGTAAGAATCTAACTTTTTAGAGGAAAGGGACCCTCCTTTTTAACAAGAGACAGTTACCCACCAAATGGTGGTAGGAGGACACCTCTGTCTTTACCTCCAGTATATGAAAGGTTGGACAACCATCTAGGGAGGATGGGATCTGGCCATCTATTCTCTAACTGGGATTTGAAACTGGGACCCATGCACAATCTCTCTATAATAATCCTGTTACTTTCAGGTTCCCTACTAGGAGTTTAAAGAGGTCTTTCCCAAACTGGTGCCTTCCATCCATCCTAACTACCATGACCCATGGTCATGGATGGTAGGAGTTGTCAAAGAAAACATTCGGATGGCACCAGGTTGCTGCCAGCTTGTTTAAGCAATTGATCAGCGAACAGCATCTACTAGTTTTTCCTTCTTACAGTCAGATAGCATAAAAGTAACAACTACAGACAGCGAACAGCATCTACTAGTTTTTCCTTCAAGTGTCTTGCAGTCAGACAGCATGAAAGTAACAACTACAGATTCGTGAAGATTCCCAGTCATCCAGGTGAGGTTATCTGGAAGTTGAGTCATGGCAAGTGGACTTCTTTCTTCTTAGGTTGAAACATTTTGCTACTCATCCAAGTACAGTAGCTTCTTCAGTCTGAGGAGAGTGGGTAGGAGATCCCTGATATATTCTCCACAGTGGTTTCACTTCCCCCTGGTCTGAATAGGCTCATTAGATGAACAAAGGATTGGGGGGGGGGAAGGTTTCACTTCCCCCTGGTCTGAATAGGCTCATTAGATGAACAAAGGATGGGGGGAGGGAAAGAAAATCCAACCTCTGCAGTCCTTCTCCACCCATTGTCATGGGTCCTTAACAGTCATTAACAAAGGTTTTTTTTGGTGTGTCTCATGGGTCCTTAACAGTCATTAACAAAGGGGTTTTTTGTGTGTGTGTGTGTGTGTCCCTGATCTTTCTGGGGATGTATGAAAGGAAGATATATCAGGGATCTCCTACCAATTCTTCTCAGACTGGAGAAGCTACTTGAATGAGTAGTGAAACATTTCAACCTAAGAAGAAAAAAGTCCAGTTGCCATGACTCATCTACAGAACCTATGTCTCTAGCAGACCAGAGCTGGAGTCATTTGTTCTGCAGCAGACTTCCACACATTGAAAAGAGAGCTCAGAACTCATTCCGCATTTCAGGGTGCTTTGTTTTGTCATTGGTCATTGGAAGACAAACATGGGTTTAATTTGCAAATTGGATTGTTGAGGCATGCAACTCTGTGGACACAATCTCCATAATGTTTAGTTTGGCCGAAGTCTCCTTTGAATGTGAATTGCTCTTGGCCCCAAATTACCTGTTGATATGGTCCCAGGTTCAACACCCATTCCCAGGAACTAATAGTGAGAGCAGGATCAGAATGAATGAAAATGAGAGGGCAAGATGAACCATTAGTTGTACCCAATCAGTTAATTTATATGGTCTTATCTTTGCAGTAACTTTAAAAAAACACACACCACTGAATAGAAATTTTGCTGAGGGAGTATGAAAGTATCACAACATAGCGACTTTTTTTTCAAAAATACAACTACTGGAGCTGTATTTTTGGAAGGGGTGGGAGAAAATTCTATTTACTTTATATCTTTTTCAGGACACTCCCTCCAGATCCAAGATGATGCAGGATTACTCTCGGAGATGCAAGAAATCTCAGTTGGGGTAGAATGCATTGTTACATTAGGCTCACCTGTGAAAATGTAAGAAAAAGGAAATACAGTTTTTAGAACAATATAATTTCCAAAGTCCATCTGAACAAGCTTCTCTATACTTTGAACCTCCCTTATTAAAAATAATGCCATTCTGGTATAGTGATTGGAGGGGTGGACTAGGACTCGAAAAGGGCATGAACCTGAAAAATTGTCGTTCATGATGATTCATGGTGAGCCATGAGCCCACAACCCACCACGAATCAACTGGAAAACCAAACTAGTTCAGGATTCAGTGTTGGTTTATGCCTTGGGGGAGGGGGGTGACCTGATCTTTTTGCACCACTGTGCAAAAAGATCAGGTAGCCCTCTTTTTGCCTATCAGTTGGTTGGAAGAGGCAGTGGATCACCTTCCCTGCCAGGAGCCAGCTGCTGCCTCTGCAGACGCCTACTAACTGGGTATTGGGTGCATGCCCAGAAACAGCAGCCAGCTCCAGGAAGCTGGGCCTGCTTCCTCTGCACATGTGCCCTCTACCCAGCTGATAGGCAGGCACATGTGCAGAGGCAGCGTTCACAGTTGCACAAGAAATAGAATAAGATGCTCAAGAAATAGAATAAGTTTTAACAAACAACAACAGCATTTCATTTATATGGACTCGACTTACGAACTTAGATTCGAGTTATGAACTCTTTTTTTCCTTTTTTTAAAAAGCTAAGTCATCTTAGGTTAAAAGGAAAAAAGAAAAAATATCCCCCTCTAGTGGCAGAAGGTGGAATAGCAGCTTCCCATTAGTTTCTATGGACGAAAAGAGCAGATACGGATTAAATGGTTTTCAATGCATTCCTATGGGAAATGCAGATTCGACTTAAGAACTTTTCGACCTGAGAACTGCCTTCCAATACGGATTAAGTTCGTAAGTCGAGACCCCACTGTGAGTTTTCACAAACAATAACAACATTTCATTGTACAGTATTTGTGTAATGCTGTTATCCTGCAGTGATTATTATAATAGCAACACTGCTAACAACCATGAACTCCATTGGGTCAAAAGGATATAAGGTGTAACAAATAAGTAAACAGTCAAATACAAAATACTTTGTTCTGCTTATTTGTTTACTCACGTTTCACATGAAGCTTTAATGTTCTGCTTACACAAAAATCACCATTTTCCGCGTAGAACACATATTCACCTGGTTGGTATTTATGGTCACACAACCTTGCAGAGATGCTGTTTCATAAAGGAAGGAAGAGTTACTCAAGCATGTATTCAGATTCTTCCATTGCTAAAAGGTTTTGTTGTTTTCTTAAAAGCAAAGCAGGCATCTATCAAAGAACAAGAGCCCAAAATAGTATCATAGCTTGATTCTTCCATAAACAGACTAGAAAAGAGGCCACAAATGTTACTCACCAAAAGTTGTTTGATTGCAACTGATATCAGCCCTAGCTAGCATAGCTAGTGGTAAAGGTTGATGGATGTTATAGTCCAGAAACACCTGAAGGGACCCATGTTCCCCATTGCTGGAACAGAAGGAGCACTTCTGGACCTTCCAAAGTGGGATGATTGATGAACTACATACTTCTAGGAAATCAACTGTAGCTGCACTGACATTTTGCGCAACAGTGGGACTTAAACCCTTTCCAAATTCAACAAAAATGTGTCTTTTTCTGCACAGCAAAAGGAAACAAATCTGGTCCTGCAAAATAACTCTCAGATTGTACTTGTTTATTTCCACTCTTAATTAGCTCTCAACCATAACAAATTTGTTCTGTCTTAGTTTATTTTCTTTTGTCCCAATTTGTGGTTTCCAAGTACATGTAGAAATTTGTAAATGTTTTTGAACACATTTCTCCTAACATATATACACATGCCTCCTAACATATGCATATGTATGTACATGTTGCTTACAAACAAGTATATACATGTTTGTAAGCAACTTGTTCAAAGGGAATGCACTTTTCAATATTTGCCACTGTTTGCATTTTCTGCAGGAAGACTTCATTGCAAATAACTCAAGTCTGTTTTTGCTTCAAGAAACAATAATCAGTAGATTCATGTTAAAGTGCAAACCAAATTAATCCCCCCATCTCTGCCTCACAGTTGCTGCTACTGATTTTTCAGAATAAAAATGACCAGCACAATATTTATACATAATAATAATAATCCTAGTGCTTTTATCTGAAATGTCATATAGCATTTGGAATGGTCTTTAGCAAATCCTTTCTGAACTAAAGAAATTAGTGCATCTGTAAGGAACACAAATTTGATTCCAGCGGGTAGGGCTGGGATATAGGTGATTCCTGTTGTCCAGACACTTAGAGATGTCATTGAGTGAATGATTTGGCTTAGAATATAAACTTCAGTGATTTGGAATACTCATTGTTTCATTATGGAACAAGCTGGTGTTTCAATCTCCAAATCCTTTTTCTTTCCAATGCACACACCCCCTATTTGCTCAACCATATAGCTTATATACCACTATGAAAACGCCCAGCTGAAATCATTCTTTTCTAAAAAGCACAACAGCATATACGTAAATAAAAATGAGACCAGTGCCTCCCTAAAGGCTAACAATTGCATTATGGTAGGAGGTTTTGTGGAACATTAGTTCCCACAGTTCCTCAGGAAATTCTCTGAATTGTACTTCAAAAAAACATTACAGTATCTAGTATCTCTCTCTCTCTCTCGTGTGTGTGTGTATATTAATATATATTGAGGCGGTATATAATAAAGTCACAGGACATTAAAGTACCTTGAGTCCCAGTTCTTTTTCTTAAGGGCAAAATTAAAACCAAACAAGTCAATAAATACAATCAAAACTCAAAATACAAGAGGTACTGGCAGTGACACTTACGTTGTTAACATTTGCCCTTTGGGAAAGGAGAAGGAGGAAGAGAAAAGGGGCAGTAACAAACGGTCAGAGACTGCTGGGCTCCCCTAGGTTGTGATGTTACACAGCTTAGCACCAGTCAGGCGTCCTCTCTTATCTCTACCTGGGCACCAGTCTCATCTCCTTCTCAGAAACATCAGACTGCATTCTAACTCTCTCTCTCTCTGTGTAATCCTACCAATCCCATGGAGAGCAGTAGCAAAGGCATAAATATAGCTGGCCCTATGCACAACATTAAGGAACAAAGGAAAAAAGGAAAGCAGCCAGATGCTTGGAGATAAATGGAGGGGGTTGAGTTAGGTAGAGGCTCCAGATCAACCTATCACAATTCACCAGTTAGAGTCTGATCCATGGTCTAGATCTTCCAGGTCTGCAACATCTCATTCTCTAAGATCACGAAGCCAAATAGTAAGACCGGTGTGGTCCTTTGTTATGTTACAGAGAAGGAGTAAAAGTGCTTCTGGTTTAGCTGGTTGTGGAAACAGGCACAAAATTAATTTGATATATGGTCCCAGAATTCTGGTAAAATCTGGCTAGCCAGGTATTATTACAATACAAAGGCTGGTAAAATCAACCACATTTTTTTCAGTGGCCAGGATGATACCAAAATGCCCTCAGCACCTGCAGTAGTTGCTGCCATCTCTTCTAGGACTTGATTCTATGCAGGCTTACTTAGACAACAGATGGGGAATTTGTTCACAGCCTCTGCTGTCACTAGGGCTTGCCAAAGGCTCACTGCTAACCCATGGGGAGGTCTGTCTACGCGCCTACTCCCATTGCTTCAAGAACATATGCAACACAAAGATTCACAAGTTGTGAAGCTGGGACCCCACACTTGCTTTCCTCCAGGTGAAACAACGGGTCAAAGTACATATGTCCACTGGCTTTCTCCCAAGTATCCTCTGTTCTCTCCCCCCCTCCAGGTTTTATTTTTCTCTTTCAAGGTGTTGGCCATGCGCAAGGACAGCATGCATACAAAGACCTTTGTGATCCTTGGCATTGGCTGGAAGCAGGTAGAGATGGGTGCAGAGGCCTTGAAGTCACCTCTCACTACACAATCCAAATGTCTCCTCCAGTTCCTTTTGCCCTGAGATTGGCCTCCCTGTGCAGATACCCAGGGAAGCACCACAGTATCTATAGTACTTCAGCCAATGCTCCAAGACATGGCAACCCAATTCCACATCTCAGTTCCCCTACCAAAAAATGAGACATGCACAGGCCAAATAGCAAACTGCAGTGGGATTTCCTGCAAACAGAAACAGTTAGCAGATGGGGGGGGGTTTCCTCAAAGAAAAGGTCTCTGAGCCACCTTATTGCCCACCTGTTGTGATGCATTTGCCCATAAGTGGCTCCAGCAAAGCAAAGCGGAGAGGCAAAAGACATTTGGAAGTCTCTGCAAAGATTTCCTGCATTGTGTGTTGGTTTGAAAGTATACACCTAAGGTTGTCCCTATCTTCAAAAAGGGGAAAACAAAAGATGCAAATAATTATGGCCCATCAGTCTGACATCAGTTCCTAGAAAGATTCTAGAGAAGATTAATAAGCAGGCAGTTTGTAATTACTTAGAAAGCAATGCTGTCATTACTAGAAGTCAACATGGGTTTCTCAAAAACAAGTCATGCCAGACTAATTTAATCCCTTTTTTTATAGAGTTACAGGCCTGGTGAATGAAGGGAACACTGTGGATGTAGCATATCTTGATTTCAGTAATGACTTGGATGAAGGCATAGAGAGTATGTTGATTAAATTTGCAGTTGAAACCAAATTGGCAGGGGTTGCTAATTCCCCAGAGGACAGGATTAAAATTCAAAATGATCTTGACAGATTAGAGTCCTGGGCCAAAACTAACAAAAAGAATTTCAACAGGAAGAAATGTAAGGTCCTACAGCTAGGCAGAAAAAATGAACTGCACAGATATAGGATGGAAGACACCTGGCTAGACAACAGTACCTGTAAAAGGGATCTAGGAGTCTTGGTAGACCACAAGCTGATCATGAGTCAGCAGTGTGATGCAGCTGCTAAGAAAGCCAATGCAATTCTTGGTTGCATCAATAGGAGTATAGTGTGTAGTTCGAAGGAAGTGATAGTACCACTCTATTCTGCTTTGGCCAGACCTCACCTGGAGTATTGTGTCCAGTTCTGAGCCCCTCAATTCAAAAAGGATGTTGACAATCTGGAACATGTCCAGAGGAGGGCAACTAAAATAGTTAAAGGTCTGGAAGCAATGTCCTGCAAGAAGCAGCTTAGGAAGCTGGGAATGTTTAGCCTTACAAAAAGAAGGTTGAGCGGGGACATGATAGCCATATTTAGATATTTGAAAGGATGTCATGTTGAAGAGGGGACAGGTTTGTTCTCCAGAGATCCAGAGACTAGGACAGCGAGCAATGGTTTCAAACTATAGGAAAAGAGATTCCATCTGAACATTAGGAAGAACTTTATGATTGCCAGAGCTGTCTGGCAGTGGAATAGGCTTCCTTGAAGGGTGGTGGAGTCTCCTTCTTTGGAGGTTTTAAAGCAGAGGCTGGATGGCCATCTGTTGGGAGTACTTTGATGGATGTTCCCGTCTGGAGGGGGTTGGACTAGATGGCTTCAGTGGTCTCTTCCAACTCTATGACTCTAAAGTACACTATAGTCTTTAAAACAGAACTTCGAAAAGTTCCACATTGAACTACAAATCCCGTAATGCTTCAGACAATGTGGCCTTGGGTTTTTTCAGAGGGGGGAGGGGATCCCTGAATTGTTACCTCAAAATGTAAGTTTTCCAAGCTGTACTTTAAAATGTGAAAGTAAATGTGACAAAAAGGGAATTATATTGAGCGCCATTTTCATCAAATATTACCTTGTAAGGGTTTTGACGTGGCTAAATGGAAATCTACAACCAGATTCTCATTCTTCGTCTCTACAGGTATTCAAGTACTGAGGTGTACTGCTTGTTTCAAAAGTTCTACATCAATGACTTTGCTAAACTATGATAGCAAGACAGTAAATAAGCATAACACAAAGTCCAGTGCCATTTTCCATGGCTGTACCAATAAATCAAATTTGTACAGTTATATATATATTACATTTTATTCCTGGTACATACAAGTGACACTAGTTTGCTCCTTTGTACATCTGAGATTTTGAAACATTCTATTAAAAAATTACCTACAAAGGCAAAAATGGCAAATATAAATCGTCAATCTTACATACAAGCACTATCTTGGGAGTCATAAATAACATGTGACTGTACGCAGGTGAATGCATGATAATCCATGTGGGGTAGGGAGGGGAGGGCCTGATGAGACCCAGTGCAGTGCTTTGCATGTAGTTTGTGCACCGCACAGAAACCAAGTTAGAGAAGCCTGTGGGCAAATACAGCACAAAAGCCTAACTCCCTGTCATTCCTCCATCAGACCTCGAAAGATTAGCAAGTGTTTTGCAAGGAAGGCCAGTCCTACCATAAGGCAGAATGGGATGGCTGTCTCAACCAGCAGACTTTGGGTGCCATGAAAGGGCAGAAAATGCTTAGTTATTTAAAGTACTGTAGTTCTTTAATATATTTTGCTTATATGTTTCCTTCCAAGAAGTGGGAAAGATGTTTGTAAACATTTCTGCCTTGAGTGCAAAAATATTTTGACTGGCTTAGTAAATTATTTACCCCGACTTCAGGAATTGGGTGAGGAAGGCATTTATTGCTGTGGCTCAGGTCCCAAAATGTTTTAAGGTAACTTTGTTCCCAGGTGGGGGGTTTATAGAAGATCAGTATAAATACAAGGGCAATAAATTAGGCAACAGCAGTACTGTTTGTAAATGGATTTCAGGTTTATAGGACAGATTCACTTTGCAGAACTCCTCCAACCTCTGCTGATAAGAAAGAAGGTTGTTGACATCAATGCACTTCAACATCAATGCACTTGGATTTACAGAAAGGAAGTGAAAGTCAGCAATAGGTCGAGCACAGAGATCTCTTCTACCATATAAATAGGGAACAAAAACCTAAAGAGCACTAAGAACATTTTGTGGAAAAGCTTAGGGGAAGTGGTAAGTAGAATTGAATTAATGACGTGTTGCTTGATATTATAGCATCCCAAAAGAGAAAGGAAAGAGGAAACTTCTGGGTGGAAATTCTTATTTGGAAAATGGAGAAGCTGCTCGCTGAAGGTAGAACTATACATTACATGTAGCTCCAAAAGTCTATCTCCACCTCAATCCTGTACCATTAGGGGTAGCTTCAAGTGGTGCCCCTGTTTCCTAAGGCAACTTTATCAATTGCTCGTCAGCAGGTTTAATAGCCCTCTAGAAGTACTACCATGTTTCAAATGTTCATGTACTTCTGTGGAAAAACAAAGAAGTTGTGGTCATTTTGGCTTGCTAGCGCAAGTCAGTGGGCAATACAAAAATTCAGATTTCCAGATTTCATTTTGGGGTTAGATACAAAGGGGGGTTGGAAAAGGTCTGAATTTCTTCAAACAGAATGTGAAAAATGAATCTGGCCCCAGCCTGTGTTGGAAGACCCTTGCATAGGTCTATACTAAAATCAAAAGGGAAAACATATAACCTCATCTCCAAATTGAAAGAAACAAAGTTCAAATAATTAACCATAACTTTACTCCTGAGACAGATATTTGATGTAGCTGCTAAAACTTTCAGTGCAATCTTAGGCTGCATTAAGAGAAACACAGTGTTCAAATCACAAGAATAAATAATTCCACTTTGTACTGCACTGATCAGACCCCTTATGAAGTCCTGGGCCCAGTTCTGTTCCCACATCTATGGAGGAAAGCCAAACCCAGACCATGGCCAGGGGAAGATAACCAAGATGGTGAGAGGTCTGTAAAGCAAACCCAGTAAAGGAAAGCTTAAAAAGCTGAAATGTGGAGAAGAGACTAAAGAATGTGATGGTTGCCTTCAAATACCTGAGGGATAGTTACATAGAAAATGGAGAAGGCTTGTCCACTGTGGCTCCAGAGGGTAGAACTAGAACCACTGCAGGGAAATTGCGATAAAGCAGATATTGGTTACTCATTTGGATAAACTTCCTAACAGCAAGAGCTGCTGGACAGTGGAGCAGATTGGAAAGTTATTATCTGTAAACAGAGGCTGGGTTGCCATCTGACAAAAAACACTGAAGTAGCTCCCACATTGAGTAGGAGATGGAGTAGATGACATTCTAGGTCTGATTAAACTCTACAGTTCTACAGCTTAAAACCAGCAATAGGTCAGAAGCAGAATAGCCCCATTGAACCACTGATTCAACAGACCTACTCTCGTTGTAATTAGTTAAAGACCATAAAGTGGCTTCAGAACTTTAGTTCCAGCCTGTACAACCTGTGGCTCACTGAGCTAAATGCAACCTACCGATTATATATGGGGGAAAAGCAAGACCTTGAGAAACCTTGGGTCTTTACGACCTGCCGAAGACAAGAGTGGCAAACATTTAGCACTCCAGGTTTTTGGTCTATAACTCCCAGATTTCTCTGCCTGCACTGTTAATGATACAGGACTGTGGGGGTTGTAGTCTAAAGCATCTGCAGTGTCAAAGGTTCACTACCTTGGCCTAAGTTATTTAATTGAAGTGCTACATGTAGCAGCACAGAGCTATGGTGAAGCTTTGGAAAATCCTTGTTTCGTACAAGTAAACGAAAGAAAGAAAGCTGTGAAAGTCTAAGAACACAGAAAACTGCCGAGGACCAAGTCAGTCATTAGGCCATCTAACCATTCTCCAGGATTTCAAGCAGGACTTTGTGCCCAAATCCTACCCAAAACTCCTTGGTATTACCTTGTAGCCTACCATCTATCTACTAACCATTCCCAATCCTACTTAGTGTTGTACGGTGTGCTGGTGCTGTTGTTTTAAATACAAAAGTGGTCAGGTAATCTGGAACATTTCTTTAAATAGAGAGAACACTTTCAGAGTACAAGAACCCACAAGGCAGAACAGGGGCATTATGTGCTTTCAAGGTCTGATGCACACGGGCATACCAGCTTCTTCCTGATGCTTAAAAAAGGCAAGGCGTAAAAAGCTTTATTTTGTTTTGCTGGTGTTTGCAGAGTCATAAAATACATGCTTTTTCAATCCACACCAAATCCACACCGAGCCAGCAGTTTTGGTATCTGACACATCAAGTACTGTCCCAATATCATGGTTCCCAATATCATGGAATCCATTACTCAGCAGCTGGTGTTGCACAGACTAAACCATGAGGCATGTGAACTGATAAGCACACAATTCCTGAAGCACCAGCAGAGTCTACCAGCTGCAGGGGCCCAGACAACCCAGTGGGGAATCACTGCTGAAATCAGTTTTCCCTCTACCTTAGGGAAAGTGTCTGGGCCCAGGAATTAGTATTTAAATTCTCCATAGTGATCTGAATGACTCTGGCTATGCTGGGTGAGGGATTCTGGAAATTTTAATCCAAAGAAAGCAACTTTCCCAAACTCCGTACAGTATAAAATGTACAGAGTTTGTACATATTTCTAAGGATCTCTAAAGTGTAGATCATTAGCAGTCTTTGCTGAACACTTTTTAAATTCACCTTCAGCAAACATAAGTAGATACAGACAAAATTCAGATAAAACAAATATGCTACAAAATTGTAATCATATTTACTCGCAGGCAGGGAAGAGTTCAAAGAACTTATACTTAAAGGATTACATGCATAGGAGAAATGTATTCAAAGACAACTAGTTACCTGTAACTGTCAGTGTAATGCTGCTTGCATGGAAACGACTTTTGGGAAAACATCCAGATGCATGTAATTGCTGGATATGCTTCCAGTTTAATTTCAAGGCAAATGGTTTCCTTTGGGCCAACTTCAAAATCTTCCTTTAAATCAGTGATATTGATAAATCCTCTACCTATTAAAAGATATATCAAAATAATGTCATGGAAATTTATAATTTATGTAGAAAATTTTAAAATACCATGTGACTCTTTCTAATTTTTTCCAAATGGGAGCGTTTGTGTTTAGCCATCAACCATAAAAACATCCATAGGCATCCTTCAGTCTCGAGAGACTATGGTAACATGCTCTGAATCGAGGAGTGTCCTCTCCAGAGCATGAAGCCCGGGTAAGGTAATATGGAGGATAGGCTGTTACCCAAGCAGCAGATCCCCCCTCTCTACATTGCTGAAATGGTCCAATGGAAAGGCAAGAGCTAATACAACTGGTTCCAGCAATGTCGCAGGAGTTGGCAGAACGACACATGCTGCCTTCGGGACTCCAGCTCCGGATTTTGCCTCGAGGTTGACTCCTGAAGCCTTTGCCATGAGTGGATATAGCCACAAGGCAGTGGAGGTTTGAAATTGGAGTTTTCCTTCTCCTAGATGGGCTGCCTTCCATGGCTGACGAGCCCCACCTACCCGGCAACCATAAAAATAAAAGGCATAAAAATAAACTTAAGAAGCTTCTGTAAAGCAAGCAGAACAAATCCAGCTATAGTATGAACTAAATAAATACATGAAATCAGCAACTGTAAAAAAAAAATCATGTAGGAAAGTGAAAACATTAAAAAACACAGAAACATGAAAAGGGTTTTACCTGTGCTGTCAATGCCATAATGTAGGAGGTAGGTAAGCTTCCTAAGAAGTCCATACCACAGTTGATGCCATTATGGTGAAGGCCTTTTTCCTGGCAGTTAGTGTCCAGACCTCCTTTGAAGGGAAGCCCTGAATATGGCCTTTCTGTTGGTAGCCATCCTTCAGAAAATGTGGCCCTGCACCATTCAGCACTTGATGTAGTACCCATAAATGTGCAGTGCAGCCATTTGTACTTAATGTAGTACATATATATCACTATTAAAAGGATACAAAACATTGTCTTCTTCTGCCACTACAAATAAGAAGCTAAGAAGAACTTGCCCTTGGGAAATCAGACTCCAAAGCAATTCTAGGTCATGGAGACCAATAAAGCAAGCTAACTTTCCAACTCCAGTGGATGGGAGAAGTTCCTGCTCCGATGCACATAACTGGAATAAAGATTCCCCAACCCCTTCTAATTACAGTCTGCAGGTGAAACTCGTTTCTACACTGAATCTCATTTTTAAGAGCTGCGATCATGCCACCTCAAAGAGGATAAAAGCACAACTCCAGGCAGGACCCTCTTGGGTTGCTCCCACTTAACTTTGTCAGATCTCTCCCTCTGTTCCCTCCCCTCAAGGAGATGCTGGTCTGTGTCTCTACAGATTAGCCCTTCCTTCAAAAACACCTTCCCTCTGCATCCCATTGAGATACTTTCCCCCCTTCACTTCAGATCATTTTCCCCTTTGGTGGAAAAATCTCATCCTACCTCACATTCTGCCCAGACACAGAGAGTCAGCTCACCCTTCACAACTTGCCTGCTTGCCCGCTTGCCTGATTAGGACGGCTTGGGTACTGCTTGGCTTTCTGCACCCCAGTTTCTCAACACATGCATTCAAAAGCTCACCCTTCACAACTTGCCTGCTTGCCTGATTAGGACAGCTTGGGTACTGTTTGCCTTTCTGCACCCCAGTCTTTGTCAACACATGCATTCAAGGTGTCAGCTAAAACCTAGAAAAAAGTTTTACCCATTGGGACTCATTCATTCCAACTCACTCACTGGACTGCATGGAAAACTTTGCTTTTCTCCTCACCCACCCAACTCCCTGATTGTGTGTCTGTGAACCTGTATGTTGCACTATCCCATTACTAAACCCAGGAGAAGGCCAGGGAGCAAGGTAGAGCTTCTCCCTTCCATCCCCATGGATTTCTGTCTTCTCACCTCCAGTATAGTTATACGTAGCTAAGTCATAATTTGGAGCATGTGAAGGAAAGAGTGCATGCTTGTCCATGTGTGTAAGTCTTGTGAACTTCTGAAATTGTGATGATGCTAGTGCCTAGGATTCGGATAACTCATCATTCTGTTAGAAATCACATTAGTGTTTCAGAGACATGATTTTATCTGACAAATAAGACTTGTAAACAAAGCCTGTGTTTAGATCCAAACAAAAAATTACAAAATAAAAACATGCTAATTTGCAAACTACAGAAGGTGTGAAAATCTCCTGCTATGACCATCAATCACTTTCAAGAATTAATTAATTCTCATTCGCAATGGAGGGTTTTCTGTAACATATTATATGCCCCTTATTTTTCAAAACCTTTTATAGTAAGGAGATAGACACCAAAGGCAGCTGGCCAGGCATTCTTCTTTTTATTTTTTTGTCAACAATGAAATGATGTGTATATCCAACTAAATCTATTTAGCATGAGAGCAGTAACAGCAACCTCAGTTTCATTCTTCTGGTGCTCTCTTTGTTTTTTTGCTTTGTTTGTTTTACACCATAAATAATGAAGAAGCAGTTTTGAAGCAAGTGTGGGCAGAAGGAAGACTTGAATTTACTAGCTGGATGATTTCCAGGCTTTGGGGACTCCCAGTTATTTAACAATAGCAAGAACTGAAATGTTTCCCCTCACTTAACCCCAGTTGTTGATGAAGAATGCATTTAATAGATCTAAGTGAAGAAAGGTTTGGTTCCAGTACTGCATATGCTCAGGGAAACCTGTCCCTTTTTTGTGGCATATGCCTCATCCAGTTTCTGGTAATATCTTAAAGGTTCTAGTAAAACAACGGTGGAAGCCTGAAGTGTGAAGTATGGAATAACAGGGTGGGTGGAATAAAGAAGATTAGTTATGCATGAATGTCAAATCACTAAGTCCCATTTTAAAATTGCATACGTAACTTCATCATGGTTACTTATCCCAGTTAATTGGTATTAGTAGATTGCTGTTCCATCCAGTTGCATAAAGACACTTTCAAACCATCAAAGCCAGGAACCATTTCTCCATTTCATGACAATACATTCCATAAATTAAATATGCATTATGTAATGGGCTCTGGAACAGAGGAAATCCAATCATGCTTGATGATTTGGAGTATATATGGAGAACTGGTCATTTATTTTTACTGAGTAAACCTTGTTGTTATGTGCTGTCAAGTTGGAACTGGGCTTTCAAGGTAAGTGAAATGTTCAAGGAGTGGTTTTACCAATTCCACACCCATAGTGAATTTCTATGGCTGAGAAAAGATTTGAACTCAGGCCTCGTGTGTCTTAGTATATCACTCAATCCACTATACCACACTAGCAATCACACTGTTAACATATATCAGATTTCAGATTTACTGTATGGTAACACCAAGACAGAACATAATGCTGGAGCGATTGCATAAGAAGGAACAAATTAAGATGTTTTTTAAATGACTTTTTGTTGTTTGCACTACTGACATCTTAATTTCAGTTTTGCTTCTTCTCATAGGGAAAGCTATTAAAATATTTTCATTCAGAACTACAGTATTAACAAACATAAATAAATCTCATCATCATCATCATCTTGGAAGTGCAGAGCTGGAAGAGACCCTCTGGATCATTGAGTCCATGAAATATGTGACTTACCTAAAACTGTAACCATAATGGTTTGATTTCTGTTAAGGTTTTTGGAATGACATGTATAAAGTCCATGACTATGTTGTTCCACTGATGAAACAAATGCATACTTGTTCCTAATCCAATATGCGCCCAGATTCCAACTTTCATCAAGTATCATGTTCTATAATTTGGGGGAGGGGGGAGAAGGTGATAGAACACATTAGTAACATTACCTAATAACCTTACTATTTCTACATTCCTGGCATGTCACAGCAAAAAAAAATCAGTAACAACAAAAACACCAAAACTACTTGCTATCTCTGATGGGGAGGAAAGGGGAAGGGAGAATGGAAGGAGTATTTGGAGTAGTTTTGCACATTAAAGTCACATCAATTAAAGCAGAGAAGGTGATAGAACACATTAGTAACATTACCTAATAACCTTACTATTTCTACATTCCTGGCATGTCACAGCAAAAAAAAATCAGTAACAACAAAAACACCAAAACTACTTGCTATCTCTGAGGGGGGGGGGAGGGGAAGGGAGAATGGAAGGAGTATTTGGAGTAGTTTTGCACGTTAAAGTCACATCAATTAAAGCAACTTGTCTAAGCTCTACATCAAACAAGACTATGCCCCTCTTTGTGCATTGTGAAGGCAAGTCATGGCAAGCCAACATTATGGACCACTTGAGTTATATCAATGGCTTTCAACCTTTAGTCTTCCACTCTTCTCGGACTTCAACTCATGGATTGTGTCCAATGGTAAGGGACTCTGGCAGTTGAAATCTAAAATACCTGGCGGACCAAAGGCTGAAACCCACTGGGTTATATGATGTAATATGGTTAGATTACATAATGGATTGACCTACATTCCTATGGTCAAGTTTTTGCAAAATAAGTATTTTACATTTTCATTTGCAAAACTTAAACATTCAGTAAAATAATTGTTTAAAACTTGGTTTTTAATCAGTCGAAGCTATTAGTAGTAACTGCTCAGAAGGAAAAACATATTACCTTTGCTAATTGTTTGTTGTCAAAATACCATTTAATTCCAAAGTTATAATTGCTATAGGTGGCTCTACATCTTAAGAACAGTGGATCTCCAACTTTAACAAAGAATTCTTTCTGAGGGCCTCCCAATGGTATGTCTAAATCTGAAATACCACAATAATGAAATAATGAACAATATGTCCAATCAAACAGGCAAATCAACAAAAGCAAAATCCTGAAATTTATTGCAATCATTTTACCGTATTTTTTCCATTTATAAGACTATACTTTTCTCTAAAATCTTTAGACTAAAAATTAAGGGTTGTCTTATACATGGAAGTAAGCTGAGGAGGGAAAAAAAACAAGTGGAGGGGAAAGCAGGGATCAAAGTGATCCTGCAGGGCTTTGATCCCTGCTTTCCCACTTGCTAAGCCTTAGCAAAAGGAAAGCAGGGATCAAAGTGCTGCAGGATTGCTTTGATCCCTGCTTTCCCCTCTGCTTGCTAAGTCCCATAGGGGTTAGCAAAAGGAGGGGGGAATGGTTCAAAGCAACCCCGTGGCTGTATAAGGGGGAAAGGGATCAAAATGATTGTGCAGTTGTGAAATTGCTTTGATCCCTTTCCCCCTCCTTTTGCTAAGCCATGCGGGGCTTAGCACAAAGGGAGAAAGCAGGGATCAAACTCATCCAGCAGCACTTTGATCCTTTTTCCCTACAATTGCTAAGCCCCACTTAGATTTCTTAATTTTGGGTTAGAAAAGTGTGTGGGGGGTCTTATACATGGGGACGTCTTATAAATAGAAAAAATATGGTACTTATATCATTATGTAATTAACATATTATAATTATCATCATCATGCCCAATCACCACCAACACTGCTACAATCATCAATATTTGAACACCAGTGTTGTGAATAGTGTAAATATTAAACCAGTGTTGAAAACCATGCATGTTAAACTCGCTTACTCTGTTGGAAGCAGAGAAAGTTCAGACTAGCAGCAGCAACAGCTAACTGCAAGTCTACAGGAAACAGCAGAATCAGTGTTCCAAGATCACAGAAAACTGGAGGCCTCCTTGCAGACGGATGTAAGAAAATGGTGTTTAAGGAGAATATGTTCCAGAAGGAGAAAACACAGGGGGAAACAGGATTTTAACAAAATGGTTGTTAGATTTTTGAAATTACAATTCTCATTTTACTAAGGCATTAACGTTGGATTTAACTAATTGCTGCTAATTTTCAGTGGCAAACTACAAGGCATTCTCCTCTTCATTTTTTTCTCTCTCTTTTTTGCCCTGGACAAACACAGGGAGTGTATGCAAAAGAAGAAAATGAAAGGGGGGAAAATGAAAGAGCTTGGTGGGACATCCAATTCTCAGTCCTGCATTAGAATGGGATTTCCATCAACCACAGAAGTTTTCTGCCATCAAGGTATATGTGTGTTTTATACTGTCGAGTTCAAACTGATTTATAGTGACCCTAATAGAGATTTCAAGGTACGGTAAGTAAGATATTTAAGGAGTGGTTTTACTAGTTCTACTCCCACATTCAGTTTCCATGGCTGAGTGGGGCTTGTTCTTCAGAGCCCTAGTACATCGCTTTATCCACTACACCACACTGGGAATCAAGGTACCTCTAGTCAAACTGTAGACTAAAAGCTACATGGGGCAGGAAGCACCGGTGGCCCATACATTGTGTAAACATATGTATGTAAGTCCTTTGCTCCTTCTCCATGTCCTCTGCAGGGGGAAGTGTGAACAAAGCCAGTCAAATTACTAGCTGGTGTTTAGGAGAGAGAGAGACAGAGAGACACAGAGAGAGAGAGTTTGTGTGTGTGATTGTGATTTACACTACCCCTCCCATATGGAGAAGGGAGAGTGGAGTGAAGTTGGTTCCTAGCTAAAGAGGTAGATGGAAAATGCTGTCCATTCTTCATAATCCTGTCTAGGAAGAAACTCCTTCAGCTGCATACTTTTTGTGGAAGTTCATGTTCTTCATGTTATCAGGTTGATTCCAACTTTTGGTGATCCTAGTAGGGTTTTCAAGGCATGTGAGATGTTCAAAGGGTGGTTTACCATTGCCATCTTCCCAGTACATTTCCATGGCTGAGCAGGGACTTGATTCCTGAGCTGAGCAACTACAGTAGTCCAATACTTTGGCCACTACAGCACATTGGCTGTCACTATGGAAGACCACACTTGGTTTTAGTGGAATAATGACACTGTTGGCATGGATGAAGGAGCTACAAATCTTAGGCCATCCACACAGGAATCTATTAGTACTGTAGTTCCATTACCTATTGTATAGAGTTCCGTGCATGCATGGCCCATCTCATTGACTGCACAGCACCACACATGTGGATCAATAAGCAAATCTTCACTTAGTTTCAGCTGTGCCCCCTGTAATCTGTGCAGGACTGCATTTGAGGAGGAATCATTTCTTCTGCAGCTATAAAACAGAATAAGAAACTGACTCTAAGAAATTACATATCAAAAATGAGAAAATTCATTTCATCATCATTTATTATTGCATTTTTAAGCATCACTTTGCGTTACACCAACTGTTAAAAAGAACACATAACATTTACCCACAATAGTATTTCCTTAGAGATATATACCTCAACAAGCAGACTTGCAAATGAGGCCCACCTAATAAAGTGTACCATTAAAATGGCTCTCCCCCCCTGCAGGGAGCAGGGATCTATTGTTATGGTCCGCCCTCGAAGGCTACTGGATCCTGTTGGATTCCAGGATGCCATGAGAGGTGTTACGGCTGACCTGGCTGGCGCTCCTGTCGAGGCTCTGGTGGATGGCTGGTTTGCTGCCGCGACTAGGGCTGCTGACATGATCGCACCTAAACGCCCTCTCCGGCGCAGAGACCGCCCGGCACCCTGGTTTAACCGGGACCTCCGGGCGAGGAAGCGGGTCAGGAGACGGCTAGAGCGCAGGTGGAGAGGGGCCCCGACGGATTTTAATAGGATAGCTGTCAGGGTCGCTACTAACCTTTATCTTGCTAAGGTAAAGGCTGCTAGTAGATCATACCTCGCTAACCGGATAAGCGAGGCGTCCAACCAGCAGGCGGAGTTATTCCACCACACTTGGTTTTAGTGGAATAATGACACTGTTGGCATGGATGAAGGAGCTACAAATCTTAGGCCATCCACACAGGAATCTATTAGTACTGTAGTTCCATTACCTATTGTATAGAGTTCCGTGCATGCATGGCCCATCTCATTGACTGCACAGCACCACACATGTGGATCAATAAGCAAATCTTCACTTAGTTTCAGCTGTGCCCCCTGTAATCTGTGCAGGACTGCATTTGAGGAGGAATCATTTCTTCTGCAGCTATAAAACAGAATAAGAAACTGACTCTAAGAAATTACATATCAAAAATGAGAAAATTCATTTCATCATCATTTGTTATTGCATTTTTAAGCATCACTTTGCGTTACACCAACTGTTAAAAAGAACACATAACATTTACCCACAATAGTATTTCCTTAGAGATATATACCTCAACAAGCAGACTTGCAAATGAGGCCCATGTTTACTTTCCAATGACCATTCAGAAAACAAAGCACACTAAATGCAAGATATGTAGTTGAGGAAAATCATATGCAAACAGAATTTTCGCTAAGAATACCTCTTTAATAAGAGATAAAAACATCTTGGATTGAGTAATTAGGGGAAAGGTGGCATAGAAATAAAATCAATCAATCGATCAATCATCAATGTGTTGTTTAGTTTGACCTTCAGATTATCTTGCCCACTACACAAGGATTGCAGCACCAAGAAGTAGCTGTTGAACTGTGGCCCAGCAGGACATGTCCACCACATAATATTACTGACTAACTGCTATTGTAGGGAAGGGATCCCTTTCAAACCTTGCCTGGTAAGTATTCATGGAGTATCTATGTTACTTAAAGTGTTTAAAGTACTGAAATAAAACATACTGAGCTCATCCGTCTTGAGCTTCTGCTGGGTGTCCAAGACATGACCTTTAGTTTAAAAAAAATGATTTTGAAATTGGGTTTGGAGGTTGTTTATAATCTGTGCTTAAATAATGTTGGCTTTAAACACCTTGGCTTTAAAAACATTTAAACTATATATTAATTCATTTGTGTATGTGTGTGCATTGCTTTGTGAGCCCTGGTGGACAGAAAAGAGATAAATATTATGTATGCCCAAGAACACAACCTGCAGCTTATTAATTCATGGCAATTTGCCACACGACCTCTGCAATTTTGCTTGTGCAAGCATAAATCATCAGTAAGCTGATTATTTGTTTAGATGCAGCACAATATCACTGCTATTCTCCAAAATGAGGAGAATAGCCACAATATCATCTCAATTTAAAGAGAGAATTAAGGAGCAGAGGTACTGGATTATAAACTAGCTACAGACATGAAGAAGAACTCTCACTACTTTTAAGGTCTAAAGACAACGTTTTTTAAAATTCAGCTTGCAAAATTGTTTTGATGCTTATTGATTACTCTGGTAATTCTAATTGTTTTACTTGTTTTGTTTTAATTAAAGATAAGATTATCATAAATGATTCTTCCCCACTAAATGCACAATTTCAGAATGGTGCTTCTATATTTTTTAAATGAAAGGCAGACTGTTGTCTCAATCAATGGACATGCAATTATACATTAGCTTCTGAGAATTCTCCTTTCAGTTGCTTACATGTGCCATCATCTTTCTGTTGGAAGACGTTCCAGGGCAAACAAAGAAGAGAGGGCAGCAGCAAAATAGGCAGCTTACCCTTCATCAGGAACATTGCAAGACAGCCATTCAAAAACTGGTTCAGGGTGTCCTTCTGATACGCAGCTGACAGTGCTTGAATGCTTATTTGTTACGAAATATGGTTTTCTTGGACCTCCTATTGAAAATAACATAAACTTTGCTTATTGATTCAGGCACTGTTTGTTGATTCATAATATGCACTTGTGGTTTGCCTGGCAGCATGTTTTGACAACCATGAAAAACCTTTTCACCCCCGAACAGTTCCTAACATATAATATCAGACTACCAGTCTCACCATCTCCAGCCACTAGGCCCAGTGGGCACACTGGAAAGAAACGATGTGAGTTGCAATGCAGTACTATCTGGAGAACATGAGAATGGAGAAGGCAGGTCTCGGTTTTTGCATCACACATGCTTCATCCAGTGTGCCAATACCACCCGTATTTTTCTCACCATCCACATAAGGCAAGGCTTAAGTCAGTACCATCAGTGACAACAACTCTGTCTCTTGCTTTTTTAAAGAACAAGGTGAGGTAATTTTGGACTTGTTTTGTTTCACTTTGTATTCAGAGTTGAGTTCAAGTGGCAAAGGCTTCATGAAGCAGAAGCTTTCAGTATCGGCACTAATTTATTAGCCAACAGACACACACACATACCCCAGCGCTACTGATCATTCTAAAAGGGTTTCTTCAGCATTACTGACTGAGTTGTTCTGAAGGACAATTGATTTCTAAAGAAGATTAGCAGTGGATTTCCAGTGCAAAGCACTAAGTTCGGAAGACTACTGGCTTACTGTTATGAATGCCCCAGCCAATGAAGTCTGCCTTCTCAATATGGATCTCAATAAGAGAACAGATCAATGGATTCAGCTTGACCAGGAAGCACAGCACTACCAAAATACAAAGTTGAATATAGACCATTGAGTCTCTTCTAGCCTCTTGCTCTGCAGTCATCAAAGGTATACATGACAGTAACTGGCAGCAATAACTGACAAACTTACATGTGCATTCAGAGATAAGGAAGGTGTTATACTCAACACATAAACTCCAAAACCTGCGCTGTCAGTCAAGAGATGGTCTTAGAGTCGGCTGCCAAGATTCCAGGAGTTATACGAGCAAGAGGCAGCCCTTGAAAGTGCCTAGGACACCAGGTACTTCAAACTTGAACCTTGCTCCATGTCAAAAAGTGGCATATACCACTATATTCTGGAATTAAACAAAGGGACCAAGAGGAACCAAAGAAAGGGACCAACTCAATTAAGGGAAGGAGCTGCAAAAGTGCTTGCAGCATACTTTCCTCTGTTGAAGACTTTTCTGTGATGGAGTACAAAGTAAAGCCACAGGGTTCCCCTGGAATGTTTGTGTCAAAGCGGATGTTTCGAGATATGGTGAAGGAGAAGCTGTTTATGTTCTATTGTGTATTTTAATATACAGGTATTCAGCTTTTTCTCTCTTTTCTTGAGTTTTATATACAGGCCTTGCATTTCATTATTATGAAGATTCTGCTTTGTTGTCTTTTACACGATCTGCTGGTGAGCCACACTTTGGCAATGTGGGTCGCCATTGTCTTCTTCCCCAGATCTCGCGAGACGACGGGAGTCTCGCGAGAGGGACCCAGGATGGGAGGGGGGAAGGAGTGCAATGGCATTTTGAGAGGTGGAAATATTTGGTCACACTGGCAGGTAGTGCGAATAGAACAGGTTTCGGTGAGTGCCATCACAATCGCAGGCAATGTATAGCTCATCTGACCTCTCAGCGCTGCGGATCGTGAAATTACAGTGCTTGGGGGGGGGAGGGAAAGATGCATTGGGGCCACACCCGGGCCAACAGTCAACAAGAGAAGGTGTATTTAAAAGTATTTAAAATTATTTCTCAAAATATTTTGCAATGCTTTCAACCATTTCTTTAAAAGACATGGGTTTATAAAAGAGTTCTTTTATATTAAATATGGGGAGGGGAGAGAACCCTCAGAAGAATCTGCACTCATTCAGGACCAAATGGCACCAATAGACACAAATGAAAGGATGGGAAAATGCCCCTTTCTGGATAGGCTCTTACAGAATATCTAGAGCGGTGGTTCTCAACTTTAGGTCCCCAGATGTTCTTGGACTAAACATCCCAGAAGCCTTCAACATTAGCTGTGCTAGCCAGGATTTCTGGGAGATGTAATCAAGGAACATCTGGAACTCAAGGTTGAGAACCACTGATCTAGAGTCATGTCTCTCCAATTCCTGTTCACCTGATGAGTCCTTAAAGTTGCCTAGAGTGGTCGCAATGACCAGATAGGTGGGGTATAAATGGAATGGATGGATGGATGGATGGATGGATGGATGGATGGATGTCGCAATGACCAGATAGGCAGGGTATAAATGGAATGAATGAATGAATGAATGAATGAATAAATAAATAAATAAATAAATAAATAAATAAATAAATAAATAAATAAATAAAGGAGAGGCTTTGAACACCAAAGACTAAGCATGGGAAGTGTGTGATGACACAAGCAGGGTTCCCCTTTTGCATTCCTTTAAAGATCTATAATATTAGCAATTTGATGGGCCACACTGAAGAAACTAATTCACAGAAGGATCATAGGTGAAAACAAAATAAAAATAAAGAGTAAAAAAGGACAAAAGCATGGTGTCACTTTAAAGACTAACTGTTGTCTGATGTCTGATGAAGTGGACTTATCCACAAAAGCTTACATTAAAGTTAGTATTTCAAGTACCACCACATTTTTGTCCTTTTTTACTCTTTATTTTTTAATTTTGTTTTCACCTATAATGCCTGCACAGACGAACACAGCTACCCATTCTGCAACTCTTTCCACAGAAGGAGAGCTATAAGTCATATAAGCAACACCAAGAGCAAAGACTCATCAGCTCAAGCCAAACACAGGCAGATTCATAGACAAATATTCATTACCACACTAAGAGGGTATTCCCCTTCCCTATTTCACTATATTATTAGACTTTTAATCCAGTATAAATCCAGCAGTTCTAAAAAAAAGGGGGGGGAATTGCCAGTGCAGTACCTGTTCCCACAAGGCCATGCTGAGGCCCACTGCCATCTCAGTTTTAACCCCCCATGAGAATAAATGGCACAATTTCTTTGTTAACTTTTATGGACAAAAAAAAAAATCCTCCCTGCATGTTGTGTGGAGGGGAGAACCAGCTCCTACTACACACCATTGTAACAACCAGGTCCTTGTTGTGGTCAACTTTTTTCCTACAAGGTATACCCCTTCTCCATTTTTTTGATGGGGGAGGGAAGAAAAGAAAACCTATCCTGCTGAAAAAATGAGATTTCCCAAGATCTGATGTTTTTCCACAAAGCAGCTTCCCCTCCCGCCATGCCAATAAGCCCCCACCACCAAAAGTTCCAGTTCCTTGCATGGGGTTTTTAAAAAATTGCTCTGTGGATGTGCCTTTTCTATCTTTTTCCTCCCTTCCTTTCAGGGCTGGCCCTGGTATGAGGCAGAGTCAGGCAACACCCTCAGTAACCAAAGGTGGAACCTTCCCATCAGCCCTGTTTGTCAGAGGCCGCAGCTGTGTGTGCCACAGATCGTAACCTGCACCTCCAAGACTAACCGGGGGGGGGGCGGTAGAGGATGTTGCCCTTTCCCTATTGCTGATGTGAAATTCAGCTACAAATCCAGCTCATTTTTGTACATGGGAAGGGGTGAACTCTTCCTAGGTCTTTCCCTCAGGCAGAAAAATGCCTTGGGACCATCCATCTTCTTTTGTTTTCCCCTTCTCTTTCCCCTACACCACTTTTGTCATCGTCTTCGTCTTCGTCTTCGTCTTCTTCTTTTCTGCTTCTTCTCTGTCTTGGATTCCTTTCTCTTTCTTTCTCCCAATATAAATGCTGTGGGGTTTTTTTTCTGTCTTGCCTAGGTTCATATTCAAGCCCAAGAGTGCCTGGTGATTCAGCAGTGGTCACATATTATAAAATATCAAACCATCTCTGGAAATATCGATCTACTCAACGCAGTACGGAGTTGTTGTTTTTTCCTGGAAGGACAATGTGGATGAAGCTTCATATAAAATGAGTGATGTGGGATAAAAAGCACAAGATATCAGAATTAAAATGGAGGGAGAGTATTCAGAGTGAGAAAGGGAAAATCTCCAGGGTTGGGGGAAATCAATCATGTTTTGTTCTTTCAACATTAGGCAGACTAGTGTTCCTCATTTCTTCCCTCTCTATTTTGCAAGAAGTTTGGCCCTTTGCTTATCACCATAAAAAGTTATGGCCCTTAAAAGTTTCTGACCATTGAACCTGCTTAATTAGTTTCTTTCATTGGTGATAACTGGAGGCTAATGACTCCAATACCGATGGGCAGGCTTTTCATCTGAACTTTACAGGAATTATCAAGATGCCGAGCCCTGTCCCACAAAACAGATTCATCACCTTGAATACCTCCTGTTGGAATTTAGACTAAAAACTAGGGCAGATTAAATGCCCAACTGACATCAGAGTTACCGTCCTCCACTGTAGTGGTGCTTAACTGGTGATGGACAATATCATGGACCTTCCTCTATCTTCTTATGGTTCTTGGTCTTTAAGTCTATTTTGGATTCGACACAGCCTTTCAAACAGAAGGCTGTCCTGTGAAAGTTTTTCAAATCATTGTCCTCTGTAAAGCAGAGTACAAAGGCACCATGGCCAAGATCCAAAGCCGATGGAATAATAATTTCCTTCCTCTTCCCCTCCTGTTGTTGTCCTGCGTGTTGCTTCCCTCCCCCCACCCAAAAAAACCCAATTCTCCTCCAAAGAGTTTCCCAGCCCTTCCTAGCACGATTTCAAACTGTATTAGGGGCTGCAGGTGGGGAAGAGGGGGTTGTCATTTTTGGTGGAAACCGTGGGATCCAAGACATGCGCCACTCAATTCTGGCTGACAGCTTCTGGCTTGGTATCGTACTTACGTTTGATATGAAGTATAAATGTTACTGTGTAGTAATTGGTTTTAGTTTTAATTGACAGTGTGTGATTTCCAGCCAGCTTCTCTCGAATCTTTGGAAACTCCACTGAAACAACATGCCTATAATAGAGGAAACAAAGCTTCATTCCTTAAAACCAGAAAGTTAATCAAAGGGAAGCAAGCCCAACAATAAAAGGAAATAAAAGGGAGAAAGCCAAAATGATAACAGAATACAGACAAAAATGTATGGTCAGTAAAAGATTAACCAATGCACTGCTTTTTTTCTTTTTCTTTTTACTGACCACAGTGAATGGCTATTCTTTAAAGAAGGTAATCTTTCCTCAACCAGCAGCTATCCACATATTAACCTTGTAAGATGGCCAAGGTGAGAGCTTATCCAGGCAGAGTCATAGCCACTCACCACTACACCTGGTATTTAGAAAATTCTAAATATGTAAATATACCTTTATTAATTAATTAATTAATTAATTAATTAATTCATTCATTCATTTATTTATTTATTCATTCATTCATTCATTCATTCATTCACTCATTCATTCATTCATTCATTCATTCATTCTATTTATACCCCGCCTATCTGGTCATTACTACCGCTCTAGGCGGCTTACAACATACAAAAATGACAAATATATAAAAAGAAGATTATAACACAATTTAAATAATTCCGCAAGATGGGAAACATACAAGTAAATCAATTAGAGGGAAGAGGGGAAAGAGTCAGGTTTAACTGGGGGGTGGGAGGCCTGCCTAAACATCCACGTTTTTAACTGACTTTTAAAAGTACCCAGCGAGGGAGCCGAGAGAATCACTGGAGGTAGATTATTCCAGAGGCGAGGAGCCACTGCCAAGAAGGCCCGGTTTCTTGTTTTTTTCCTTCCGGGCCTCCCTCGGTGTCAGGCTCCTCAGCCTCACCTCCTGACTCGCGCGTGTGACACGGGTAGAACTAGGTGGGAGTAAGCGTTCTGCCAAGTATCAAGGTCCTAAACTGTTTAGGGCTTTATACGTAAGCATCAAAACTTTAAAGTCGATGTGGAACCAAATGGGCAGCCAATGCCAGAATAGGAGAAATATAATGGTATTTTCTTGCTCCACTCAGGAGTCTGGCCACCACATTCTGCATCACTTGGAGTTTCCGCATCAACTTCAAAGGTAGTCCCATGTAGAACATGTTACAGTGGTCTAATCTGGAGATTATGAGCACATGAACCAAGGTAATGAGTGCCCCCACACTGAGATAGGGCCACAGCCCGGCTATCCGCCAAAGATGGAAAAAGGCGGTGCGGACCACCTACGCTACCTGAGTCTCCATGGTGAGCACCAGGTCCAGATGGATCCTCAGGCTGCGAACCCCACTCTTTGCAGCAAGGGTCACCCCCCCAAATGACAGGGAGTCACCCAAACCGCCAATAGTGGGGGCACCCACCCTCAGAGCCTCTGTCTTGTCTGGGTTTTCCCATTTTCCTGCATCCATTGCAGTACAGCCCCCAGGCAGCGCTGGAGGGACAGAACGGAATCACCTGCAGTTAGAGGAAAGGAGATTTAGAGCTGCATGTCATCAGCATACTGATGATACGACGCCCCACACCTAGAATATGTAAATAAAGTTCTTCCAATAGAACCTGAAGATAAGCTTGATACCATATTTTTAAAATTTAACTAATGGAAATTTAATTGATGTTTTAAAGAGTAAAGCTGTATTTGGCTGCACAAATTTGCACCCTCAGGAGGAAAATTCTTCTGATGAAGGGGCCAGCTGCCATTCCATTTTGAAATGATTTGCCTCTTCAGGAGGAAGACCTACTGAGACAAACATTGCAAATGAGGATCTGGCTGTTCACATTATGTGAAACCTGAATTATACTGATTTATACTAATTTAGCCAATTTTCAGATCATCTCATAATATTCCAGTCACATTAGGAACAACCAACATTGATTTATTTGCCCCAGCACTCAGTTTATTTCCCCCTTGCCCAGAGAGTTGTTTTAAAATGTACCAGTGAGTATCAATTCATTCCTTATTGTTTCAGTGTGTGTGAATATTGCTGTTGATTTATTTCCTTTGCAAAGGGATTTGGTTTTGGGGCGCTGTGGCCACATCATGGCCAGTGTCCATGTATCCCTTTTTATTTTTAAAAAGGATATCAGTAAATTGCTAGTAGCAGTCACTGCTGCTAGCGAAAACAACATGAATACATTGCTCGGAAGGAGACAGCTTGACGGAGAAAGCCTTCCCTCCCTTGCTGGTGAAGGAGGGCTTGAAAGAGGGACATTTCCTGCTTTGAATTGTAAAGAAAAGAGTACAGCATTAACATCTATTCTCTCTCTCTCTCTCTCTCTCTCTGTGATTCTTTGGGAGTCTTTTAAAACATGTTTTCTCCACCTGATGCTGTGCAAAAGGGAAAAGAAAAATGAAAGCCAGAAAAGAAGAGGGAGAGATATGCAGGGAAATACAGAAAAGGGGACGAGTGAGTAAAGGAGGGAAGGGAAAGGGGGAGGAGGAGAGAAGGCTCATATCACTCCATTGCTCTACTGATATATCACTTTTGTTATTTAAAAAATAAAAGGACAATTGGGGGGGCAATTGCCCCAAGAAACAGTAGAGAAAATGAAGCAATAAAAAATTGAAGAGCAGTGTAGCCTGCTATAATGGTTCAAATAAAAATAAATGAAGTGATGCAGTTAAAAATATGAGCACTCCTGCCAATATATATACCACATAACCACTGGAAAAAAATGTCTTGCTACAACAGAGGTATGGAAAGATTTGGCATAACCGGGGTTCTTTTTTCACATGTGATCAAACTTTCAGACTCTCAGAACAGCAGAACTGGAAGGGATACTATGGATCATCCAGTCTGTTAGGGAGACACAACGGAGCATTGAACTCCCAACCTCTGGCTCCATAACCAGATTCCTAAACCACTGAGCTATTTGCCTCTTGTTCATTACGTTCTTGATCAGAACTAATGTGAGGAATTTTAAGACATAAATTCAATCCATCCCTTACCGGTTGTCTGAATCCAGAGAGATATTGCAGTCAGTCTTTGACTCCTTAAAAACCCAAAGACAGGAGATGTTCCCTGTAATATTTAGTATTGTCTGTATTTCAATAGTTTCAAGCACACCAACTTCTACATATTTTGCTTCAGAAATGTTCCCAGTGCTTTGAGAATTCCAAGAACAATTGAGGTCTTGAACATTACTTTGGATCTGCATCACAGAAAGGAAAACATATTTTATGCCAATACACTATATTATGACTCATTCTCCTTATACATTAATGGATCAGAAATGCTCATGTCAGCCTTTTAATATCACTTCCTAAGCTCCTCCTGTATTCAATAATTCACCAATCAAAGTGCAGAAAAATTAAATAACAAACATTCTGTCTTGATATCATTATATGTGAAGCTATTAGTCCATGGGGGAGGCAGGGGCTAGTATTTGTTTTGCATCCGGTTTGTAGGTTATGCCCTAGCATCTTCAATGAAGAGAGTCTGGAGGCAGAAAGTTTGGGATAGACTTTTGGCCTAAGATCCTCGTGAGCCAGTCAGAATGTAGGCAAGCAAGATAAATGCCAATCAGATTAGAGAATGCTCAACTACCTGCACTAAAAAACTGATTAAGGAGGAGGCAATTTTAAGCTGTTTAAACAAACAAATTTTTCTAAATTCTAACACAATCAACACAAACATTGCTTTCCCATCAAAGGGCTTCCCTTTCAGCATTTTTTGTGATAACAAGACAGAGCTTGGAAAATAGCTTTTAAGGAAAATGGTTGAGATGTCCTGAAGCTTTCTGAAGTTGAGGTATGATAGCTTAATAATTTGCAAATACTTTAAATGAAGACCAGGACTTGGCGAATGAAGCCCAGAGCTTGGAAAATTTACTGCTTAGTATTACAAGGAGCCTTGTGGAGTGGTGGTTAAACTGCAGTACTGCAGCCAAAACTCTGCTCACGATCCAGGTTCAATCCCAGATAGCTGGCTTGAGGTTCAGTCAGACTTCCATTCTCCTGATGTTGGTAAATTGAATACCCAGCTTGCTAGGGGAGCAATGTGTAGCCTGCATAATTAAATTATAAACTGTCCAAAAAGTGCTTTAAGCATGGGGCAGTATATAAGCAGCACACTTTGCTTACAAGTTCCAGATTTATCTCAGCCACAATGGCCAATGGCTATGTTGGTTGGGGGATTCTCAGATTTATAGTCTGAAAAGTAACTTTTCTAACTTTAAGTTAGGACAAGATGAAGAGAGTATTCAAGGCTTTTGTGTGTTGTAAGTGAAAAAGGTGCAACCACACTTGAATAAAAGTTCATATACTACCTGGGGGCAAGAGAGCTAAGGACTGTTAAGGTTTCCCACAATATTCCCTCTTCCTATTGTCAGCTCTGTTGTTTCCTTATCTTGGCAAATAATATTCTTAAACTTCACTTCCACACATTTCCTTTATCTCCTTAATCATGCAACTAGGTGCCATGTCCTCTAATCAAGGTTTCTTTACACAGACGATTTCCTTTAGGTATGATCTGAGATCGTAGGTTTGTGCTGGTTTGTCAGAGTGGCACCACAGGTGTCATGTGTTCACTTCCTTAACTCCTCTCCCAGGTGGGCTTCCCCATCATCAGCTGGCATGCGCTGCTCTTCTCCTCTCGTCTTTGTGTGATCATCCAGTCATGACAGGAACACAGACTTCCCTTCTCTGCCTCCTCCAGCAGCTGGCCTCTCAGACAAGGAGACGGGACAGGGATTACTGCAGCATTGTCTTTGAGTGAGTAACTGCTGGAGGGGGTGGAGAAGGGAAGTCCATGTCCCTGCTGTGACTAGACTATCACACAAGGAAAAGAACAAGAGCAGTGCATTCTGGTGAGTGTGGGAGCTGGCTGGGGGTGTGGAGGAAGTGAATGAGGTTCATGTTCATCTCTAGGGATGATTCTAAATACCACCTTTGTATTTACTAACAGCATCTGGCCAAATCTTCCCAGAATGGGTGACTGAAGGAACAGGGATGGAAGAGGATATGGGGAGCAGGTGGGTTTTAGCATGGATGTTGAAATTATCAAGGAACAGAACGGGGGCATTATGGTGGAAGGGGGGGAAGGCTAACCATGTTTCGTGGTTGGAAAAAGGAATGAAAAAGGGGAAAGCTAGAGATATAAAACAGGAACAGAGAAAGATGCAAAGGAGAATAAAACCTCACAAAATGAACTTCAAAAGTTGAAAAACAGGGGGTGGGTGGACAGAAATTGCAACAGAACCTAGAAAAGTTACTTTTTGGACATGGAATTTCTTCCCATGTCTGGGATCAGAACCATGGTGCAATCCCATTTCTTTTGGATAGAGATGAGACATCCTCAGGACATCTTGATCACAAAGTCATGTATTGTATATGGAAAGGTGACAGTGGGAAAGATGACATTAGGGCTGCAGGTCTTTCAGTTATATAACTATTGTCCCCCTTGCAGATGAAGCCAGGGAAAACCCCAAATATAGTAGGACTAGCCCACTGCATTTTAAAGTATGTGAAAGTAATACACATTTCTCTCAGAAGAGGGAATTATGCATCAGATTAAATCCCTCAGCTACCTTAAGATACCACTGGACAATGATGGAAGATCTAAATGTTGTTTTTGATCCTAGTGTGGTTGATTTTTTAAAATAACTTTCCCTAGTTTGGATGGAGTACTATAAAAGACTTGCTGTAAAAAAGGAAACGAAACCTGGACTTCTCTCAAACAAATGTGTGGGCAACTGTAGCAAAAACCACAAAATGGCTGGGAACTGGACTGCTGTTTCTGAAATGCTTCCATTCTGGTGGCTTGAAATGAGCTGCATCATGACAGTCACATACCCAGAGGAATGTGGTTGGCTTTTTTAAAGGAAACAGCTGCGCCGATCCATGTTAACAGTCTTAGCTGTTCTCATCTCCACCAGGAATAGCTCTTCTACAAAACTTATATGTCTTAATGGTCTATTAAAAACCAATTAACCTCAACTGACCTTTGCTTTATTACAGGGTAGCTCCCAATAATATATTATTGTGGGGAAATATTTACACCTGCCCCAACTATTATGACAACTGCAGCTAAGTTTGTAAAGAAGGATGCCTGAGGGACTTGACAAGTATTGTCATTGCTTTTGCTAATCAAAAACACCCATGACTCTAACTTTGAGAGTCACAGCTCCTTAATGTCCCTGGTTGTTACTGTTGTTTACACGCATTTGAGGAATCTGCCTGTATACCCAGTAAATATCATGCTGTAATAAACTTATTGGTTTTAAAGGTGCCACATTACTCTTTTATTTGTCAATATTTCTAATTCATCTGCTTACTTTATTAAAAGTTTATCTTTCAACACAAGATTGCAAAACGATTATTTTTTCAACAAAAGGTGGTTAAGAATGAAAAAGTTAAATCTAACAGTTAGCATTGCATTAATTCAAGTACAGTGATGCCTCGCAAGATGACTGCTTCACATGATGATGAATTCGCTTTACGATGAGGTTTTTGGAGTGATCTTGTGCTTCGTTTAACAATGTTTCCTATGGGTGATTTTCGCTTTACTATGTTAGGGACCTTGCCTTGCAAGATGGTTAAATTCTAGGTCCCTGTTTTTCACTTTACAATGTTTTTGACAGCTTGGTCCTGCTTCACTATACGAGTCTTTTAATGGTTTCGTTAGACAGCTGTCTTCGCTTGGGAACCGTGTTTTGCTTAACGATGTTTCCTATGGCAATTTTCGCTTTACGATGACAATCCGTTCCCATTGGAACGGATTATCAGGTTTTCAATGCATTTCAATGGGACAACGTGTTTCCCAAGACGATGTTTTCACTTAACAGCGATTTTCGCTGAACGAATTAACATCGTCTTGTGAGGCACCACTGTATCAATCTTCCTCTGATTTCTTGGTTGCGGCTTCTATTTCCTTTGATGACTGAAGAGAAGTATATAAAATCTTGAACAATTTCAATTTCTTGAAGAAACATGACACTAAAGTTATGTAACTTTAGAGAATGTAACATTAGTTACATAGTTCTTGGTCATGATTTTTTTGTCTTTTTAATGTTCAATTGCAGTCAGCATTTGCACTTTCTTCTTTCAATTTCATTAGGAGTCATTTCAAGTCATTGCTGCTTTCTGCTATTATCTGAAGAAAAGGCCTAATGACACACCACACACTAAAATTTTTATTAGGGTTTCTGTCAGGAGGAATGGACAAAGGGTAGCCTGCCAGTTACTGGTGGACTCTAACCCCCACCAATCCTAGCCAGCATAAATGACGAATTCTGGAAAATGTAGTGCAACAATACCGAGAGACTCATAGTTTGCCCTCTACTTCTGCCATAATCTTTCATGGACTGGACGCATGATGTTTTATGTTATGTTTTATATTAAGTAATATTTGAAGTAATATTTCTGCACATGCACTTCATTTTGCTTTGACCTCTCTCTAAAGTGGACTCCATTCCACAAAGTCTTAAGCAACAGTAAATTGTCCAGAGTTTAGCCCTTTTGGTTTGTTGTAGCAAAACCAAGAAAATGTTTTGTGGCACCTTAAATTCTCCAACATGTTTATTTGGCTTAAATCTTTGGGGATTGTAGTCCATTCCTTAGATACAGCAATCACAATGAATTTGTTAGTCTTTATTGAGCCATAAGACTCGCTGTGGTTTTTGCAGCAGTCATAAAATGAATAATCAGTGAGGAGGATGTAATTTTTATTCTGTGGCAATAAAACAGTAACAAATCTGGCAGCATTGGAGTCCCTCTGAGAGCAGTGTTCCACATCCAGAGTAGCACACAGCCAAAACAGGTTGTCATCTGCCTCTTCTCTGAAGGTGGCAACAGGGTAAGTGAGGCCTTTGAGGAGGAAAATAAAGACAGCAGGAATCAAATGGCAGCCAATCTTTTTACCTCATGCAAAGGCGAAGAATCCAATCGTCTTGTCAGTTTATTGTTGTGCTTGATTAAAAGGCATGTAATCTCAGATGTACATGGGCTTATCACAACAACAGATGCCACTGTAAGAATGAGAGCTGGGGGAAGAAAACACAACAGTGCAGAATCATTAATATATGAGGAAACTGAGAACATTGACAGTAAAATCACCTGGAATGGACAATGTCTGGAGTGACTCCCATGTGAGGAAATTTTACCAAGTTTGAGAATTTTCAGCTTGCAAAAAAAGAGAGCTTACATATGCAAGACAGAGGTATACAAAATTATGCATGACAAAAAAAACTAAGACACAAAGAAGCTTTTATCCCTATGTCATGATATGAGAGACCAGGGATAGTCTTTGTGCATTCTAGAATAGAAAAAAGCAGGTACTTCTTCACACCATATAATTAAAATATGAAATCTCAATAAAAAGGATGGGCTAGAACATTTCTGATATCTAGTTTTATATACCGTATCTTGAACAGTATGTTAGAGTACATATCTAGGATGGCATATCTCTAGAAGTCCTTAGAATCTGTATTACAGGTACCCCATGATAAGAAGCTCAGTCTGTTAGTGTTTGAGAGAAGTGATCCACGCAGACCTTTGTGATAAGCAATCATGCTTGAAAACAAAGCCCGTGCTTACCTCCCAATGACCAATCACAAAACAAAGCAAGATAATTTACAAAGTATGAGAGGCATAAAATGTCCCTACAGTGACAACCAGACTTTCTCAGCACTTAAGGAATTCCCTCATGTAATGACAGGTCATCTGTAACACAGAGGTTATTCTAAAGAGTGTGTGCAGGCCACTCCCCCTCTGTAATCATTTTCATGCGTGAAAGGCAATTCTATGAAGAGGAAAAGACCATATCTCTCTTTAAAACAGCAGTATAACATAACATTTAATATAATCCAGTGAGGATATAATGTTACAAGAGTCAGTGTAATACAGTGGATAGAATGGTAGAGTGGGACTCATGAGGATTCTTAGCTCAAGCCACCATGTTAAGGCACCATGTTAAGGCTACCCAACTTTGCTGTGCCCTTCTGAACTCATTGATATTTGTGTGGGTGGTGGGAGTCTTGTTTTAAAATGAATGCATCCTGAGTGTGTGTCTCGCCCATACCCTCAACCCTTTTGTGAAAGTTGAAGGTAGACTGCAGTATGAAGCTCTTGCCTCCCTGTGAAACTTCAGCCTCTTTTATTCTCACTGATTCACAGTGACTCTCTCCTTTGCATTTCTTTGGGTTTCTTTTCAGCCGGCACCTCTTTCCAACATGCACCCGCTTTAAAAGTGGAACAGCGGCCAATGACATGTTTTCAAACCTTTCCTCTGTGTTTTTAGGCCTTTGCTGATTATCGTGGCTGCCACTTCCCATGACAGTCCACATGCCCTGACACAAATTATGCTAGAACACACAATGCCCATTGACCTCATGATGGGTCTTGCAAAGACCATTTCACTTTTGTGTCTGGGCTGTGGGCAAATGTTATTTTGGAACTTGGCTGGCAGGAAGCCAAGCTCATACATTTGAAGGGGACAAACTGTGCAGCAATGGAAGCAAAGGTGGGAAAAGTTACTTTTTGGATTAAAACTGTCTGCACCTGCCAGTCAGCTTGGCTAACAGCCACAATGGTCTGGGGATTATGCGAACTGTTGTCCAATAAACTAACTTTTCCAAACTGTGTATTGAGGATGAGCAATTTTAAATGCCACATCTAACAACGTAGACTCTGTACTTAGCCTCTTGTACTTTTACATATTTAAGATGTAGAGAGTAACAGTCCTCCATTCCTTCTGGAGAGATAAACATTCCTTAGAGTCTGAAAAAGTTAATTTGGGCGACTACATCACCTAGAATCTGTCAGGCAGCTTTCACTTCAGAGGCCTATAGTTTCAGGCTAAATTGATTCTGATTTCTGGTAACTATACGCAGAGGGGTTTTTTTTTAAAAATTAAAATGCTCCGTGGAGATTTTTCAGTCCATTCTTCTGATGGAGCTCTTGGACCATCTTGGCTCTTGGCCAAAAGCTGCATGGAAGGCTGGTATACATGGGCCACATTACTTTTCTCTCTTCCCAGTCTACGCAATCCTCATGACAGCCCTGTATGGCAGGTCAGACTGAAAATGTGTGACTGACCCAAAGTTACTCAGTGAGCTTCCCAGCTGAATGAGGATTTGAACCCAGGCTTCCAGAGTTCTAGTTTAATACTCTAACCAATATGGTACATGGATTCTCTCACATAATCCAAAGTAAGAAAAGAGGAAGCAGTTAGAACCTGAATAGGAAAAAAAAAATCTTAGGGATCAATCAGACAGGCATTTGTTCTACTGTTTGGTTTGCTGCAGGGGTAGGCCGGTTCACTCTTTTTTCTGGATATCAGACAACTTGATTGCTAGAGAAAACTAATCCATCACCAGAGTACCCCTACTTGTACTTTTCTGAATCCCTTTCAAGGGCCTCGACTTTTTTTTTTGGTGCAGGTAAGGTGCTGTCTAGGTTGGTCCATTTCCAGTATATGCAATTGCTATGAATGGGCCAAAATTGAGCCTTGCAGTTATCAAAGCTGACATGGTTCCTTCAGCTATCAATTTCCAGTATCATGAAGTGGCTTTATAAGTGAGCCACTTCAGGATATCAGCAAATTGAACACTTCCCTTGCTTCTCTGCAGACGGACAAGGGAAGTTATTATTTTGTTTCTGCTAGACTATCACTGATGCGCTAAAACATTTAGATTAAATTATAATTTTTGTATTTGTTTTATGTGAACTGCTGATTGAAACTGTAGCTGCATGCAGTTTCCTGATCAGCACTAAATGTTTTTTTAAAAATTTAATCTAAGTGATTCAGCACATCACCAATAGTCTAACAGAGACAATTTCTCTTCCTCTGCCTCTCTGCAAAAGAAATGGGCAGCAGAAGGAAATGGACTAAATAGGGTTGATTGAAGCTGGTATGCCATTTGGATGCGAGGATTCCACCAAATGGCATATCAATTCTCCCCCTGGCCTCAGACAACTCTATTTATATTGCATTGGACCTTTCCAAAAGAGCCAGTACACAGCGCCAGTTTTAGATATTTGGCTTTCTTTTCCAGTCCAGGTTCAGGCTCCATCACAGCACAGAGGCAGCATTGGTCACCCTGCAAGATGACCTTTTAAGGGAAATGAACAAGAACAAAATGTCTTAGCGGCCTTTGATACCATTGACCACAGTATCCTCTTGGGGAGGCTCTCTGTGCTGGGGATTGGTGTCCCGGCTATGTCCTGGCTCCGGTCCTTCCTTGAGGACCGTCTTCAGAGAGTGGAGCTTGGGGAGCTGATGTCCACCCGTTGGACTTTCAATTGTGGAGTCCATCATCTCCCCAATGTTATTTAATATCAATACGAGACTGCTGGGGGAAGTAATCAGGACTTTTAGAACTTTATGTTACCAATATGCGAATGACACCCAGCTCTACCTCTCCTTTTAGCCCTCTGCAGAGGATGCCATCCTGTGCCCTGAGTGCTGCCTGGACATCATACTGGGGTTGATGAGGGATAATAGATGGAGGCTGAACCTGTACAAGATGGACGTCCTGTGGGCAGGTGCCTCTAGTGTCTGCAGATTAGGTGCCTCCATTTCTTAAAGAACCAATTGCAAGGAGGGCACGGAGGGAGGGAGATAATTGCCATTAATAGATGAGGGAAAAGAACACTCCGAAAAATAAGAATGAAACCAAGAAAGTGGCAGAACCAAGAGCATAGCAAAGAACAGAAGGATCAATAGTTTCAAAAGCCAAAAAAGGGATTAAGTAAATGACAAATGGAAAATTCAGCACATGATTTACCGAAATAAGCATAAACCCATTATGAATTCCTGCTGCTTAGTCTCTGTTCTTAGCAAGTAAAGCTGCAGGTGTGGTTTTTTATATTGAATAGAACTAGAGGCAGAATTGTTGAGCGATACTGAGAAGGACAGTAAAAAAAGCATGAGTCAAATATTTTTAATACTGTGCTGGAACTAGAGGACATTAGGAAAATAAATGGCAACAATATTTTTAGGGTTTGTATGGTACATAACCATATTTCAGATTGAAACTATATGTTATGGGACAGAAAAACACGTCAACACACCCAGTTCTGTGCAGTTACTCTACCAGCCAGCCAAGAATCAAAGAGGCCACCACCCCCGTATGAGAAGGGGAAAAAATCAAATACGGTACCTATTGAACTAAAGATTACTGACTGGCATTGTGAATTAGAGAATTGTGAAATGGAAAAAAAAAATAAAGCAAGTATCCTTAAGTTGCTGTTCTGGCAGCCAGGTGAAGTAAAAATAAAATAAAGTAATTCCAGTATTGTCTGTAAAACTAAGCAAGGACCTTATTGTTGTTGTTGAAAAATACCAGGCACAGTCACTGAAAATTATAAAAATATTTACTGGTATATAACAGGTACAAGTTTTAACCAAAAACATAAGTATCTGTTAAATATCAACATAGAACTACACTGTTCCTAATATTGACATTTTAATAGCTCTGGTGATGTTATTTCTGAAATTTGCAACTGCTTATAATATTGTGTAAAATTTCTTGATATTCTTCCCAAAGCCCTGATGACAATGGGGATCACTGAAATATGTTCCATCCACGTGAGATATTTCAGTTGCCAGGTCTCTGTATTTTGTTAGTTTTTCCAATTCTTTATCTTCAGCTCTGGCATCTCCTGGAATTGCAATGTAAATGATTCAGACATTTCTTTGTTCTATTAGTACTATGTCTGGTGTGTTATTTTCAAGGTGTCTTATCAGTTTGGATCTGGAAATCACATGATGGTGATGATGATGATTGGCCACATTCAGTGTATGCCGAACAAGTGTGATGTTGCTATCACTAAAAGTCTAGAGTACAATGCTGCTTCAGTCTCCATGTCAATATTGATCTTTCTGAATCAAGGGCCAGAATGCTACTAGTTATGTCTCCTGGCATCACAAAGTGATGTAACTTTCAACAGCAAATTACTGCAAGTTAGGAAGTCAGCATAGCCATTCTCTATCACATGGCAGTCACATGACTCAGTGTCCTATATGAGATGTCTACTTTGA